GACACGGCCCGTGTTTCGCCCGCCGGTCACCATGACAACATTCCCAACATCAAACTTGATGAAGTCGACAATCTTGTTTCCCTCCAGATCAAACTTGATGGTGTCGTTGGCCTTGATCAGGGGGTCGGGGTAGCGGATGGTCCTACCATCGTATGTGTTGATGTATGGGATCCCCTTTTTGCCGAACTGAACAGATCGAACCTTACAAAGCTTGAACTGCAAATAGGCACAAGGTTTGGCATCAGACACAGGGATTAATGGCTTTGATAGGCATTAGCTTTGGGATTTAGCTTTTGCATTTTGAAAATGGTGGGCCACCGGTAGCCTAAGTCTTATCATTTTCAAAATATATTTGAACCATTAAAATATCACTCTATCCAAAATGCTAAGACCATAGTTTTCAGAACCGGACCGGTGACCGAACCAGTCAAGGTACTGGTTCACTAGTCGAACCAGTGGTTCAACTGGTCAACCCGGTGGTTTAAACATATTTAAAAATTATATTAATATACTCCCTCCGTCCTATAATGATCTTCCCGGTTCGCAAAACGAAGAAAAATCTACAAGTTTTTTCATTCTATTTTATTTAAATATTGGTATAGAAATAAAAAATAAAACATACATATTTAAAAACTACACCAAAAGTTCAACAAAACAAGTGGTGACAAGAATATTTTATTTTATCATATAGGCCATGAAAAAACACAAATAAATATAAATTCCCGTAAAGTTGGAATAGTGCTCTGGGAAGATCATTATAGGAAGGAGGGAGTAAATATATATATATATATATGGTGTGTGTGTACACACACACATGCATATGGACACACACAAACATTCTCATTTATAAATACCTAAAGAAAGTAATTTATAACATTTGACTAGAATTATACCAATATATTTGAATTATTTTACTAAATTAAAAAAATAAACTTTACATATTAAAAAATAATATTAAAATTTTATAAAAATAATATCAATGATTTAATATTTTAAAATTGAAAAGAAATTTGTATACAATCTTTTTATGAATTATGAAAAATTATAAAAAATTATGCAAACTTGAAACAACAAGCTCCTTTGCTTGGATGGTTAAGAACTCAAGCAAATGCCTTCAAGGTCTCGGGTTCAGACCCTCATGGAGTGAAGTTTTGAAAAAAAATCACAAAAAAAAACTGGTCGGACTGGTCTGACCGGCAGGTTATTACCGGTTCGAAGCACATTGCGGTCCAACGGGCTGGACCAGACTGGTTGGACGACCGGTTCGCCGGTTCACAGTCCGAACCGGCCGGTCCGGTCTGGTTTTTAAAACTATGGCTAAGACAAACAAAACTAATAACTTTTGAGATACAATACAGGTCTTGTTCAAAGGTCTAATGGCAGAAATGGAAATGTAATGGATGAACACATCAATTTATTGAAAGGAAGAGTGGTGGGCAAAATCCCATTAAGGCAAATAAGTAATGACATGCTTAGGATGACTTGCAAAAAAATGAAATTTAATGATGACCAATATTTTTTCATCTTTTACCAAAATGAAAAACATTTGATTCTACTGGCGGCAAAATTCATGAAAGGATTCATGTGGTCATTTTTATTCATTGCGAGAAACAAGCTTATCCAACAACAGCAGAGGCCACTGATACGTAGAAGTACAAGTAAATTGATGAGTTATGTGAAAAATCCTTGAGGTAATCTGCTAAGGAAAAGATATAAATACTGACCTTTGCTTCTTCATCTCTTATTGAGTGAAGACGGAACCGCCCTTTGGTGTCATAAAGTAAGCGGAAGTTCTCATTTGTCTTAGGAATCGAAATAACATCTGAAACATCACAAGTATCCAGATTTCTCATATTATAAGTATTCGTGCATTAGAACCTAAAACAGCGGGAGAGAGCTTACCCATGAAACCAGCAGGGTATGTCTTGTCAGTCCTAACCTTCCCATCAACCAGAACATGTCGTTGCATCAAAATGGAAATGACCTCACGGTATGTGAGGGCATAGTGGAGCCTGTTTCGGATGATAAGAACCAAAGGCAAGCACTCCCTTGATTTGTGAGGCCCAGAAGAAGGTTTAGGAGCCTGTAAAGAGGATTTTTTAAAAAGCACAATTAAGGAATCGGGAAAGCCATGAAGTGTTTTGAATTATGACAGAATTTCCATGACCCTTCACTTACAAATGCACCCCCAAGCTTGTCAAGCATCCAATGCTTAGGGGCATTGAGCCTCTTCATGTGCTTCTTCAAACCTCTAGCCTGCAAACAAAAGCCAAAACCATATTAAGAGACTAGAACCAACATACTATGGATATTCAACCACGAGACAGTCCGAATCCATTCAAAAATTTCATTGCTCAGATACTGTAAGAACAAGACAAAAATCAATGAACAATCCAATCCATTCACTGGACCAGTGGAATTAATTTTTTTAAAGCTTGAGAAAATCCTTACTGGAGGACATGTAATTGGATTGTTATACATGAGGTCAGTTAAATGATTGAATCTATTTCGTTCATGGATACTTCAAATATTTTGAATACCAACACCATAACACTTGGGAAAGTGAAAATAAAAACATCAAAATTGCATTTTTAGATTTGAACGATGCATTCCAACTTCTTAATGTGTGTTACTCGTATTCAAAACATTAATCTAATGTTTTCCCTGGGTAACTCATCAGGCTAACGATATTCTGATAACCTCAAGAAAGGGACTTAAGATTGAAATTTCACAGAAATCGACGCATATTCAGATTAAATCAGACAAATACGAGATCGCGTAGTCCGAAAAGAATCGTCGAGGCTGACAAAAGTTCATCAACGGATAATTTCGCATTGTAAGTTAAACGACGCAGATCTAAACCACAAGGATGCAAATTTCTGGTTTCTGACACACTTGCCAGAAGTGTGAAGGATGTTGAAATAAAAACTTAATGATAAGTCTTCTGAAACGGAAAGAGAGACTAACCATGTTGGCGGTGTTGAGCTGAGTATCGCCGCCGCGCTAGATGTTCCGCCGCCGCCCGGGTGAGCTGTTTGGTGTCGCCGCTCCCTGCTGAACACTCTCACCGAAATGTCTAAAACCCTATGTTGATTATGAACGTTTATATTGGGTTGCAGGTCGAAGGTTCGCCCAAGGTAGTGGGCCTTTACAAGTATTGACCTACATTTAGCCCATTTAGATCCACTTATCCACTCCAATGGGCCTATTTATTTATACTCCTCTTGTCCTAATCTTTCTTCCTTATTCGGTTTATACGATTTGAGTAAAATTATTTTCAATTCAATTTATTGATTATAAGTATATAATTAGAAAATAAGATTTATATATTTTAAAAGTATATCAAAAGTTCTATAAAACAAGAGATGACATGATTATATTATTTTATCAAATAAATAACGAAAATAGAAAAACAAAGTGATTAAAATTTGATCATTTGAATAATGCATGGAAACAAAATTTTAGGACGGATAGAGTTTAATTTTTTAATGCATAACATATAAATGAAATTGACAAATATCAAACCAATGAATAATTAAAAAAATTATATGAAGAGGGCAGAACGCTTCTTGTTCAGTTTCTCGAACCCTTTAGTCAACTTCTTTTTGATCAAAATCAAAGATAGTCCAAATGTTATTATAGTTTACGATCATATCCACTAACTAACCTGTTAGCGATACCATTCTCTTCTCTTGTGACATAGATAGTTTACATGTTCCGTTTCATGTGAATTAGACACTTTCATTTCTAGATTATATCTTGAAATGATCCTCTAATATATTAGAGTGTATATCTTGTCAGCCATAAATTGTACTTTCTCTCTCTTAAAATCAAGATAATAAAAGTATATACTCTTAACAATAAGGGATGTTTGCCAACAAAAATTTACGGAGTATATTTTATTTTGGTCACTTGTTTTGAGTGGCCACAGAAGACATTGTCAATTGCAATATCTACAGTACTCTGTTCACAAAAAATGATTGTTACTACCTCCACTAACCTCCCTTAATAAACTCCTTCATCCAATCACAATCCAAACAATTTCCCCACTCACTCAATTACAATGAAAAGGTGACATGTCTTATACAAAGTTATATTAATAAAACATTCTATGTGTCTATTTTATTTACTCCTTCCGTCCCCCAGTTTTTATCCACTTTTGACTTTTGGAACTGTTCATCTAAGCACTTCATTGTAAGCACTTTGACTCATCAAATTCTCTCAATGGAGTAATATATAATTTCTATAATTTTTTAATATACAAATTACAAGATAAAATGGATTAAAGAAGTGTATTGGATGTTGTGTAAAAATGAAAGTGGACAAAAACTGGGGGACGGAGGGAGTATAATTTTTTAATATAGTTTAAGTTATTGATATTTTACTATGTTATAATGTAGATTAACATACACATGAATTTTCTTATTCATATTTAAAAGGTTGAATAAAAATAATAATAATGATTGTGAATGAGATAAAAAAAGAAAAAATCACATCAATACTCTGAGAATTTCAATAGTTTACGTAAATACTCCAAAATTCAATAAAAGGCATCAATGCTCCTAAGTTTTTTTTATATTAACACGAGTATTCCAAGAATTGAAAGATGTTTATATCAATGTCACAACATTTGGAGCCCTGAAGTAAACATAATTAATTCTCATAGCAATGATGTGAATATAGGAAATTTTTGGAGTATTAGTGTCATTTAATGAATTTCGAAGTATTTATGTAAACTTCTGCATTTCTGAGAATATTGATGTGAACTCTTCCAAAAAATAATTTATAAACTATAGTTATGAACATAATAATTGTAATTAATGATAATAATAATAATCGCGTTAAAAATATATCATCTCTAGAGTGATTGGTTATCAGGGGCAGCCTTGGGCCTGTGCAGGCTGTTCAAAACGCGCAGGGCCCAAAGAAAAAAAGGGCCCAATGTTTTGTTAAAGATTGTAGGATGAGTAAGATATATAATATGAGGCCCAAAAAGGCAAAAAAAAACAGTTCTTCACACTTTAGCAGCCGCAAACGGAGCTAGGGAAATGAGGGAACCAACCGAAGGGCGGAGACAGAGGAAAAAGAGTTGCGTCATCTTCACTTCGGCCGGCTGCCCGCCTTACCGCGACGCCGTACAACACTTCCGCATTCACTTCAGTCTTCCGGTATGAATATGTGATTTATTATAATTTATTGAATTTAATGATCGAATCCATAGTTTTATTTGTCTTTTACATTTTTAAATGCGCACTTTATGTTTTCTTCTTCTACAGTTCTATGAAATTTGATTTTTAATTAGAATAATTAATGAATTGTAGTTTGATAAAAAATTAGTTTTTTTTTAATTTTTCCTCTTTTAGAAGTTTTTATTGCTAATTGTTTCAAAATCTTCAAATGTGAGAGTTTGTAACAAGTGAAAATGGAGAGCTTGATTGACGATTTTGCATCAAAATGTGCAAGAATGTCTCCTTTTATGTAAACTTGTAGTGATGTTTTCTTCTTCAATGCAACAGATTCAATAATTATTATGAAATTTCTTTAAATTTTACTTTTATCAGATATGATAGTCAATAGAGGTCATTTTTTTGTTTTCGCACAGGGCCTGTTTCTGCTTTGGGCCGGCCCTGTTGATTATGGGGTAGAAAAAATTTGAAAAAAATGAGAATAATTAGAAGAAATTATAAGAAATTAAAGATACTAAATGAAACTGTAACTTAAAAGTTTAAATCCTAAAAAATAAAGTGCAAAGAGACTAGTTTTTCAATATTTTAAGTGTTTGGTTTTGGATGGAAGAAAAAGATGTCTTTCTTCAATTCTTCCGGAGCAATTCAGTTTGCTTTTCAGTCTTCACTAATTCACCTTCATTGTATTCAACCCCAAATTGGCAGGCATTTGAGGGAGGGAGAACCACCGTCGTTATCCCTACCCTCCTTGAAGCTGCCGCCGGTGACTTCGCCGTTCCCGCCGCCACGGGGCTCATTGTCGCCGTCTTCATCTAGCCGCTTCTGGAAGCTGAGTTATTACTCTTTTGTGATTCAACTAGGGTAAGTCGCCTCTTTTGCTGGAATGGGTTTTGCACCCATTCGCTGATTTTGGTCTCTTTTTTTGGCCCCTTTTTTGTGTCAAATTTTGGGTTTTGTATTGAACATCCTATTATGGAAACAAGAAGGAAAACAGTGGGTTTTGAACTCTATTGCTGAAATTCAATTCATTTGCATTAGTGAGTGCTAATCCTTATCAGATTTCATTTCTTCTTTGGTCCAATTTGTGTGGGTCAAAGAAATTTTAGCATTCCAATTCATTTACAGTTTCGTTTGTAGGCCATGAGTTCAACTTTTACTGCTCCAACTGAAAAAATGTTCCTGTCAAAGCGAAGGCACAAACCTTTTCTGCACGCGTGAACATTTGTGTGCTGGATATAGGACATGAAAAAAAATTGGGCTTTTGCATTAGAGTATGAAACCTTAATTGTCTTCGAACCATAGCTTTTGTTCGAGTTGATTCCTTAACGATGTACCCAACTGGTTTCTAGAGAATTTTTGTTTTTTATGCTACTTTGGTTTGAAATTTTGTTGACTGAGTTCTTTTAGTTCTTAATTTCTTCTTTGAGTTTGATTGCAATTTTCTTTCTGTTTCTCATTCTCCTGGTACTGTCTGCAAGTTACTTTTCATGCATATATTAATAAATTTGGGTTTACTCATTAATCTAAAGAGTTCAATACCTTAATTTTCTAATAAGTTTAGGTTTACTCATTAATATATAGAACTCAATACCTTAATTTCCATTTGGGGGTTGTGCATATAGTATTCAAGAAGCTAGACACTCCTTGAAGCTACTGCCACCGCCAAATGATGTTTTACAGCTATGATATTTTTGAATGCCTGAACCACTAAATTGCAAAAGTTCAAGGGCAACAAGGAATGAGGGTTTGTGTTATCTTGAATTTGTTTCTCAATTCAAAATAAATTAAATGAATATCAGATTTTCTGTTATTTTGAAGATAAGCCTAAAAGTTACTCCATACAAGCACAATATGTTACTAGTATATATTAGAGATCGGTATTAAGTTAAGTGATCGGTATTAAAAGTTACTACCTACCTTAGGTTATCTCATCAATTTTTTTTACATATATTTAACTTCTTTCACCCCATCACTTAGAAACTAGCCAACCAAATTTTTTAAAGCATTATGCCCATCATATCCAAGAATGGGTATATATAGAGTCAAGAATCTTCTAATTATGGTAGACATCAAACATCACCACAATTCTTTTCATTCTAATTCCACAATAGAAACAAATATAAATGGCAATTGATAAAATAATACTACTGCATGAGTCATGCACCTCTAAGTCTCTAACACATCACCCTTTAAATAAATTTCAGTTTGAATCACCATGAGTTCAAGCCCTGTGAAAGAGTCCCAAAACACGCCGACAAGCTCACAAGAAGCTGAGAAGAAGCCTATCGAACCCATTCGGCTTCCAACAGTTGAGGAAGTTCGAGGCCAAGACATATGGAACAACTGCGCCATCCGCAGCGTCGCAAGTGGAATCATGGGTACGAACACTCCCTCCATGTAGTCAAGCACTTCGTATTTCTGATGTTTTTTGGATTGGAGTTATTGGTTTTGCTTGAACTTTGTGACAATTGTGAACCTGTGTGTAGGAGGGGGGCTAGGATTGGCCATGGGTCTGTTTTTGGGGTCACTGGACACCCATATATTGGACGATGAAATGACAAGTAAGCAAAAAATTGTGTACCAAGCAAAGCAGATGGGTCGGAGGAGTTGGAGTTCTTGCAAGACCTTTGCTGTTATGGGTTTGATATTTTCTGCCGCAGAATGTGTGGTTGAGAAGGTGAGTGAATCACTGTTAGTGCATTAACAAGAAAATAACTTTAAGGCAGTGTTCATGTTTTCTTGAATAAATCTTCAACCTTTTTTTCTTTGAAGATAATAATAATACGGAAAATGCTATTTGTACGCCACACTTACATCAAACCTACTCCACACTCAAAATTTTAAACTACAGAGACAAGTTAGTGGGTATATGGACAATGTGTAAAATGAACAATTGAACATGATTTGTCCCTGCAGTTCAAAATTTGGGATGTGGGTTTTTTCTAATCTTAGTTTTAACATTGAATTATTGTTTTCCTTCGAAAGGCCAGGGCGAAACATGACATTGCCAACACTGCAGTTGCTGGATGTGTAACTGGAGGCGCATTATCAGCCAGAGGTTATTTCTCACTCACTCTAAAGACTAAGAATCTTGGTGCCCATTTTGTAAAAGGGACAATTTGCTGAGATGTGGTTGATCTGCAGTTCTTTTTGCGGGGGGGAGGGGGTTGGGTGGGAAGGAATAGTGTTTGATACCCTCTATTTCAGCCAAATAATGAGTTCAAGAGCTATTCCTTTATATGTTTGCACATTTATTTTGGCATATTTTGAGGTGAGATGCCAATCCCCACTAATGCTTAACCAGTAACTCCCAAATGACTCTATTTTCAGGAGGTCCAAAGGCAGCATGCGCCGGTTGTGCTGGCTTTGCTGCATTCTCTGTTGTGATCGAGAAGTTCTTAGAAAGGATGAACTAAAGAAGCTTTGGAGGTTATAACCCAAACCAAGAAATTTTGGAATTTTATTGTCTTGCTTGCCTACAAATTTGCTGCTGATTTTGTTATTTCTTACCATGTGAGAGGGGTTTTTTTTTGTTGAAATGTGCCTTGAAATATATACTTTATACTCCCCCAAAATGAACTTTAGGCATTCCTTTTCCATCCTCCAAAATAGACTATACACTATCCACTTTCCCTTATTATGAATTGAATATGTAGCTCATATCATTTTCTTCTCTTCTAAATAAGTAAGTTTCAATTGCACATTTTTTTATGTTTTTTAAATTCCGTGAAGTCGTCATGTTCATTTTGAGATATAGAAAGTAACTTGTAAATGTAGGTATGACAACAATTAAATCGGATTATACTTTTAAACTATGTGATTTGTGAAGTTAAATTATTAACATCTGAAATAAAATCAAAGTTTCACATTACATTGGAGGAAATTATACTACGATTCCATGAACCGATTGGCTAGAACCGTGACTGAAACATTGTAGGCAGTTCGGTTCTGGTCATTGGAGTAGCACTTCATATTCATGGTTTTGGTTTCACTTTAAAGAGGTTCAATTTTTTCAAGAGTAAATTTCCTAAATAATCCTTTATAACAAAGACATTTCCTAGTATAGTCCTCTATTTTGAAATGTTCTCTTCGTGGTCCTCTATATTTAAAATCATTCCATATTCCCTTCTTTTGAGGAAAAGTTCTCAAATATATATGATCATGAAGAGCATAATATTTTCCACATTTTTCTCTCAAAAAGGCTATGGAATGATTACAAATATAGAGGACTACGAAAAAATAGCTTGAATTAGAGCATTATATTGGAAAACAATTTGTTATAAAGGACTATTTAGAAAATTTATTCTTTTTATTAAATGCATGAGTAATTAAAATTTTGAATGCAAAATTAACTTTAAATTATTACTGCTTAATTTATTATCGAAGAGTACTATAAATAATATGTTTATTACTCACAATTGGGAACACTTTATTAGATACAATGAAGACACAAAATCACAATTGATTATAGAAATAAACAAAAAAAAAAGGAATTGACAACATCTAGTTTACATGCAAGAAAGAATTTCTAGCATCATCAAATACTTTTAACAAACTGGACAAGTTTTCTACCGTATTAAGTTCATACACTTTGATGACAAATTCTTCGGTGGTCCCAAGATCTACACTTATTTTATAAACAATAATATATAAATATCATGGATCAATTAAGCTTTTAAAAAAATTAAAAGATCCTTATATCAGGGGAGAAAGACCAAAGTAGGACTAAAATATTGAAAATATACCAAAATAGAGTTTCCATATTTTTATTCCCGAAATAAGACTTACATGGTCATGTACATTACCAAAAAACATTGTAATGTGTGCGTGTATAGTGCCACATTACCACAATGCAAAGTCCTATTTTGAGAAAAAAAACATGAAAGTCCTATTTAGGTACTTTTCTCTATGTTTTAGTTCTATTTAGGGTGATTTATATTATATCAGCCTAAGAGAAGTGCGAGAAGGTTCAAATTTTATATGTAGACTTTAAAATTATGGAAGCATAACTCTTCAATGATATGGTCTCAATTTTATTTCAAAAAATCAATTAATTCACTTTTATATTTTAGGAGACAATAGCCTAGGTATATTAACAATGTTATTGGTTGGAATGGTTGCATTATCTTTTAAAACATGCAAATACTTTTACAATTAAAACATATTCATTCAAGATTCTTTCAAGTGCGATATAGATATTTCATATTTCAGGAATAAGATATTCATTGAAATCTCTACAAAAACATGTGTAAAGTCTAAATTTTATCAACAAAGTGACACATATCACCTACATAAGACAAATAATAGGAAATTTCTCTCAACATATCATCACATATAGTAACACATCCATTGGACTTTGAGAAAAAAAAAGGGTTCAAATGAATTCTTAAGTAGTACTCCCTACTATGTATTTTTTTTACCCCAATCAAATTTTGTAAACAATTCAAAATTTGACATTGGAATAACAGAGAAGTTCCCATAATATTGGAACCTCATGTCACGGGATGACCTGAAAGCGCTTCGGTGCCCCTAAAATTGATGATTCGTATCCTCAATCCTCTCGACCCGAACACACTCTCCACCCCCTTTAATTGCACCCCCAAGTTAATTTTGACTTTAAAGTTAAAATTGATTCAAAAGTCAAAATTAATTTGGAAGGTACAATTGAATGAGGTGAGAGATGTTCGGGTTGGGACAGTGCGAGGGATTTACGGGAAATTAGAGGTAAGAGTAATTAATTTCATGAACTGGGAGTATTTATACTACCTCCCCTTCGTCCTAAGCCCGGACATTGGCAGTATTTCACTATTTCCTGAAATAAAATGGCACAGAAAGGAGGGGAAGTGGTCTGTGTTACCGGCGGCAGCGGCGGCATTGGCTCCTGGCTGGTCCGCCTCCTCCTCGACCGTGGCTACGTTGTCCATGCCACCGTCAAAGATCTCAGTGAGCTTCTCCTTCTTTACTTCTCAATCATCATATATACTTTGCACCAAATTCCTTAGTTCTGAAATTACTTCTGCGAAACCCTTTCCTGTTTTCCCTCTTGTGATCGCGAAGAGGATGAGAAGGAGACGAAGCATTTAGAAGCAATGGAAGGAGCCGATTCGCGCCTCCATCTCTTCCAGATCGATCTCCTCGACTTCAATTCCATCTCGGCCGCCGTTACCGGCGCTACCGGCGTTTTCCACCTCGCTTCCCCCTGCATCGTTGATGACGTCCACGATCCCGAGGTGATCTCCGCCTACCTCCAATCGGAGAGTGATACTTTTGATTAAACACTGATAATTGCGTACTGGCCCGCTTGATTCACAGAGGGAGTTGCTGGATCCGGCGATCAAAGGCACTATCAACGTACTGACGGCTGCTAAGGAGCTCGGAGTCCGGCGAGTGGTGCTGACGTCATCCATTTCGGCCATTATTCCTAGCCCTAACTGGCCAGCTGATATTGTGAAGAATGAGGATTGCTGGACGGATATCGAATACTGCAAACAGAAAGGGGTAAATTTCTCTACATGTTAGCCAATTAGTTGTTCCTTTTATCACTATTGTTACTATTATTTGGAGTCCATTTTATTATATTTTCACAATCTTAAGTAATCAACCAGACTTCCATTGAAGAACACATAGAAAATAAGTTCAGCCAGTGTTTTCTGACTTCAATAAGCTTCGTGCTATACTAGACATCACAATGAAAGATTAGCTTATGTATATCATGAAGATTCATGAGCACGCGTCCACTATATTGACTTATATGAATCTTGTGTTGTGTTAGAGATGGTATCCGCTTTCAAAAACACTTGCGGAAAAGGCTGCCTGGGAGTTCGCTAGGGAAAAGAATTTGGACATTGTTGTGGTGAATCCTGGAACTGTGATGGGTACTTATATATCCCCAACCCTCAATGCAAGCATGATAATGCTTCTTCGTCTGCTTAAAGGTCTGCCTCAAGGTACCTTTAAGTCTTTAACATCAAGCACTAGAATTTAGTTGAATCTCCCATACTCTCTCCATCCCCTGTACAAAGAATCGTTTTTTATTAATCAAAGCTTATTTTGTCATGTGATTTGAGAACTGCATTGACAGCAAAGAATGTTTAGCTTCCTTAGCCAAAAGCACTTGACATTGTTTACTTACTTTTTACCATTTTCTGTTATTTTCATGGCTTCTTTGCAATTTCCAAGTACTCCCCCCGTCCAAGTTGAAACTTCCCATATTGATTTGGTGCGGTTTTTAATGCTAAGAGAAAATAGTGTTGACTTTCCCATTTTACCCTTCCCCATCCCACCCCTCCCTTCCTCTTCTCTGTCTGATTCGTGAGTCACATTTCCTTTCTTTTTTTTCTTTCTTCGTGACCCCTCCACATTACAAATCTTGAAATCCAAGAAAATCATGTTTGAAATCTACAAAATTAAGAAATTAAAAATCAAGCAATTTAAGTTTAAGATCTACGAAATCAAGAAATTAAGAATTAAATCTCTTCATCTTCAACCCCCTGCCCTCCGTTACGATACAAATCTTTCTCTTCTTTAAAGAAATTGAAAAAAAATGTTGAAAACACAAAGAGAAGAAGATGACGAAGAAATTAAAGGAGGGATGGACGAATTCCAGATCTGGAAGCTTCATTGCCGCCTTAGAAGAAGAGGACGGAAGAGAGAAGGGGTGTCAGCAGAAGCAGAAAGAAACGAATGGTCAAGAAGAATAAGAACAAGGTGATGAAGAGAAGAAGAAAGAAAGAAAAATAGTGTGTGTAGTTGTGTGTGTCTTGGGGGGCAGGGGGCTGGCACAATTTAGAAAAAATGAAGAGTTGTGGTGGGTGAGAGTAAGAAGAAAAAAGAAAAAGAGAATAAAGGGTATATTAGTCTTTTCGGTAATATTTATTTACCAAATAAGGAAACGAGAAGAATCGAGTGGGACGACCCAAAAAGGAAAGTGAGAAGAAAGATATGGGACGGAGGGAGTATTAATTTGTTTGACAACCAAGTATTAAATTTTTTTCATGCTTCGTGATCCAAATGTATGTTCTAAAATAAGATATGTTTGCAAAGAACTTACTATTTGGTGTAGCTCTACTTAAATATCTTCTAAAATGATCACATGTTGATCAAAATTTAATGCCAATAATTTTTTTTCTAAGACACTTTATATTAGTGGAAAACAAACAATGTTTTCAAAATTTTTCGTTCTTTTATTAGTGTAATTTTTAAAGTGCTTTTGTTTACCTCCTATCTACTGAAATTGATGCAAAGTATATAAAATGTTATATTTTATCTTATTTTCTACTCCGTAATATAGATTTATAATTTAATATATTTAAAATAAGAATATTCTTCCTTTTTTTTGAACTTTTTGAAAATCCCAGAACGAAGAAATTACAAAAGATAGAAAAAGATGATGGAAGCAAAGACGAAGACATATATGATGAGTAATACTCCAAGTTTATTATGAGTTCTCTACTTCAAGAGTACATGAAGCATTACTAAGTATTTTTGAAGCGAAGTACTTTTTATACCCTCATTAACTCAAGTAATTTTATATTACGTCGAATGTATATTTAATTTACATTTAAATGTGAATATAGATATTAACTCTATTGAACTATTATTTCTTATACAAAAAGAACTCCACCTACCTTTTCTGTAGGGATTCACTTACCTTTTTAAGAATAATATTTGTGGCTCCAAAGTTTTCTTTCCTTTTATTAAATTTTAAACACATTTTTTTCATTTTTCGTAAGCTCTGTGAAAATTAAATGTAAGAGTTCTTTTAGGGAAGGATAGTATTCATACGGGTGCAAATTTAGATTGAATCACCTACAACATATGAGAAGACTAGTAGTACTATTCCTTAGCAACACATATACTTTGTGTAAAAGTAAAAATGCGGCGGTGTGGGAGGTCTTTGGGTCCTAAGGATCAGGTTTTTAGAAACTGATCTATTATCTCGGGATTGAGATCAAGGTGTATGATGAGACATTTTCCCATATGAGCCACACCTGCCACATTTGCCAATTTCCCCATATTGAGAGTTAGATTATTTGCACCTTGATAGGCAGTATTGGCGATTTTAGCATGTTCAACGTTTGCTCCACCTTCAAAATTGGCCACTCTAACCATACTGTTTTCGTTGTGACCAAGCGTTCTATAAAATATCATAACTAAAGTCATGACATTAGTTATGTTGATCACATTAAATGTTGTGTCTACAGTGTCATACTGTATGAGAACATAACCAAGTAGAGGGAATCACTTTCGTAGAGCTGTTGGGCCTTTATGATTGGTTTGAATCGCATCTGCTTTAGTAGTTCCACGTAGAAAGGCGTTGCACGCACTGGTCTCCAAATTCCTGTTGGGGGACCTGTGTATGGAATGGTTGCATTTGAAATGTAATTTAAGAGTGGGGTTAGAAGAACAAGATGAATAATACATGTGGCTTTGGTCTTGCTGCTTATTTGACCATTGAGTTTATCATTCACCACTGCCCAAAAAAAAGTGCTCTGTGTTATTCATTTTAGTTTGGAACACCTCGTAGGTGTTTCATTGATACTTATGAACTGATCATAAGTATGACCATCATCAATTGCTTGCTAGCAAGCTTTCTCATTTAGATATTGTCTTACAAGGCTAACTAGATCAAATGCAATGTTTTGGCCGATTAGATCTTTGAGTTCTGGCATTGGATATTCAAATTTTAGCCATAACCCGTGGAAAGACCATTCACACCGGTCCTATCTGGTCACACGTTTGTGTGTTGCAAATGAGAAAAATAACCTTAGCGTTAGCCCGAGCTAGAATCGTGAAAGGTCTTTCCACAACTTGTGGTCAGAACTTGAAGATCTAATGCCAGAACCCGAAGACCCAATTGGCCAAAATGTTGCATTTGATGCGGTGATGCTTGCAAGACAATATCTAAATGTGAAAGCTTGCTGAAAAGCAATTGATGATGGATAGACTTATGGTCGGTTCATAGAGTATCAATGGAACACTCACAGAGTGTTTCGAACTAAGATGAATTACACAAGGCACTTCCTTTTAGGGGTAGCAGTGAATGTTAAACTCAATAGTCAAATAACCAGCAAGACCGAAGCCGCATGTATTCTTCTTCTATTAACCGCATTTAAATTACATTTCACATGTAACCCTTACGCACTGAGCTCCCCAACAGGGATTTGGAGACCAGTGTGTGCAAGCTCTTTTTACGTTGAACTATCAAACTAGTTGCAATTTAGACTAGTCTCAAAGGCCAACAACAGCTCAGCGGCAATGATTGCCCCCTGCCTTTACTCAGTTATGTGTCTCATACAGTATGACACTATAGATTGCATATTCGACGTGATCAGCATAACAAATGTCATGACATTAGTTATGATATTTCATTGAATGCTTGGTCAAAGCCAAAAAGTATATACTAGTTAGAGTGGCAGTAGAGCAAAAGTTGGGTATGCTAAAAATGCCAATACAACCTCTTCAAGTGCAGGGAATCTGACTCTCAACGTGGGGGGAGATTAGCCGTTAGCGAATGTGGCAACGCAAGTTGTGGCTCATATAAAAAAAGGTCCTGTCATCATTGACTTCGATCTCGAGATCTACGACTTGTTTCGAGATATCATAGAACTTGATCCATAGCACCCAATTACCTCCAACGTCGCTGCATTTTACTTTTACAGAATATATTTGTTGATAGGGAATAAGACTCTCATCATCGCTACGCTACTAGTCTTTTCATACGTTGTTGGTGATTCAAACTAGATTTGCACAAGTGCATTGCACAGTCAACCGTTTTTCTAAAATATTCACTCCCCTAAAATATCTCTTGCATTTAATTTTTGCTAAGCTTATGATAAAAATGTGGTTAAAATTTGATTAGAGGTAAGAAACTTTTTGAGCCAAAAATTTTATTCTTAAAAAGGAGTGAATACCTAAAAAAAGGTTAGTGAAAATATTTTTGACACAGATAAAAAAGCATAGAAATACAAGAAATAATGATTCAATAGATATAATATCTATTTTGAAATTTAAAGTTGTAAATTAAATATGGGCACGGTTCCGTTGACACTGGCCAACGGTGCCACTAGTGGTGCCACTGCATTTTTGGAGCACCTCCGGTGCTCTATTCGAAAAATTGATGGTTTCTACCCCCTGACCTACCCCCTAAACCCCTCACCCCTACCCCGCCCTAAGCCCCATCAAAATGTGTGACTATTTAGGGGGTGGGTTAGGGGGGTAGGAACTATCAATTTTCCAAATGGAGCACGAGAGGTGCTTCAAAAATGCAGTTGTCAACATAATATATTCAGAGTATTACTTAAAATGTACTCTTTTAGTACGAAGTGTCAACGGAATATATTCAGAGTATTACACGGTGTCAACGGAATATGTACTCTTGTAGTAGAGAACTTAAAATATACTCCGGGTATTCAGAGTATTACTCATCTCCATGTCTTCGTCTTCATCACTGCTTCTATCATCTTTCTTTTGTGCTTTCTTTGGTTATGAAATTTTCCAAAACTTCAAAAAACAATTAGAAGAATATTCTTATTTTAAATATATAAATCTAAATTACAGATTAGAAAATAAGATAAAATATAACATCATATATACCTTGTATCAATTTTTTTGGGGAACTGTAACCGATATTATTAGAAGAAAACTAAATACTCATTCGGGGAGAACTACGCCGAAGCCCCAAAGGTAAGACGGGTTACATGGAAGCCCAAAACAAAAGTTAAAGCTTACAAAATAGACCAAAATAAGGGAACAAAGAACAACACAGCTCATGTCAGAATCTGCAAATCATCTGCCCTTACCCGCCTATGGAAAGCATGAATTCAGTGTCTGGAAAGCAGCCCAACGATTTTCCTGGTATGAGAGATTCCATTTTCTGGAAATGAATGAGTTTAGCCCTGAAGATACAATGTAACTGTGGTTGTGCTCATCCATTTCTTGTTTTGATTTGCAACATTGTTATAGCATTCCCAGATAGTCCAAGTGATAAAGCCTGGAAGAATTTTCTAAGTAACCTTTAAAATTGTATTGTTTGAACAGACCCACCATTCAATGATATGTTGATGTAGACTAATTCCATCCCTATAAACTGGAGCGTCAGTGAGAGTAGCAAAATGCCTCCAAAGATTGAGGCCTTTTTCACGTTTTAAAAGGGTATGCATCATGGTATCCTCTTGAGCTTTGCATAAATAGCATTGAGAGGGTAGGCGTAGGGAGAGTCTTCTAAAATTTTCAGGGAAGGGAAGGACATTATTAAAAACTTCCCATAGAAAGTATATACTTTGCATTGATTCGAGTGAATAGAAAGTAAACAAAAGCAATCTAAAACGCACACTAATACAAAGAAATTTTTTAAGAACACTGTTTCTTTCGCAATACTCTAAAGTGTCTTAGAAAAAACAAACTATTAGCGTTAAAATTTTATATCATTCTAGAAGATATTGAAGTAGAGCTACACCATATACTAAGTTGTTTGCACACTTCTCTTAAATTAGAACATACATTTGGATCACAAAGCATGTTAACCCTGACTTCTTTAAGGGTTCATCTCTATTTTGAAATATCTAAATGGTTCAAGAACATAATTACCTTGCAATTGAATTTTAAACCCCATTAGTACATTCATCTTCATCAAATAGAACATATTGTTGGGGATTCCTCCAAGTCCCACACCGGAGGGAGAAGAAAAAATGGACCAAAATATATAGGTTCACCCAACCCCATTAGTATGAGGCCTTTTGGGAAGTGCCCAAAAACAAATCCATGAGGACTTGGCCCAAGTCGGACAATATCATACTAATGCGGTGTTGGGGTGAGGGCAGACGCAGTCCCAACATGTGGTATCGGAGCCCAGGTTCTTGCGGGCGTGAGGCAGATTGTGTAGTGTGGAAAAATCTCAGTGTGACGGTGTAACAATAGGCCCAAGACCAAGAAAGAGGATCTGCAGGTGGTGCCTTGTGTCGAAAGTCTTCCCTGCGAGATGAGGTCGGGCGGCGTGTCCCGTGAAGTTATAGCCACGGCGGTACAAGATGATTTGGCGGATCAAATGGTGTAGCCCAACGAAGGAAAAAATTTACGGTTCGAGCTTTGTGTCGAAAGTCTTCCCGACAGGAGGTCGGGCAGCACGTCCCGCAAAGAGTGCAGCGGTGTAAGATGGTTAGCATATAAAAGGAAAAATGGATTACCGCTGGAGGGGAGCTCGGAAATTGTGTGGTCCTTGGTTTAGGGGAGGTTTGTTGGGGATTCCTCCAAGTCCCACACCGGAGGGAGAAGAAAAAATGGACCAAAATATATAGGTTCACCCAACCCCATTAGTATGAGGCCTTTTGGGAAGTGCCCAAAAACAAATCCGTGAGGACTTGGCCCAGAGCGGACAATATCATACTAATGCGGCGTTAGGGTGAGGGCAGGCGCAGTCCCAACACATATAAATATGAATTAAAACAAAATAACCATAGACCTCACATTCCTAAACAAAACAACAAGTATGAATTCTAACTCAAAAATATCAACTCTAACTCAAATATGAAAGAAAATCCACTTTAGACGCCAAATGTAGGAACTCTTTAATGGTCTTTTGCTATAAAAGACTTAGGTGCTGTTTGTTTCAGCCTCTTAATGGTTCAGATGTCTGAATGGTTCAGCACTTAATGGTTCAGACTGTTTGTTTCAGCCTCTCAATGGTTCAGATGTCTGAATGGTTAAGAGATTTGCCTCTGAATGGTTAAGTATTCTACAGAGTCTGAATGGTTAAGAGCTCTTATCTGAATTGATGAGACATTTGCCTCTGAATAGTTAAGCAATATACCAGCTCTTAATGGTTCAGACCTCTTACTGGTTCACCACTTAATGGTTCAGACCTCTTACTGGTTCAGCACTTACCTATTCAGAAGTTGTCAAACAGCCCCTTAATTATAAATGGATCAGTAGCTCTAAGTCTCTAACATATACTCTCTACATTTTTGAATTTGTCAAAATCTTCATTAAAAAAAGAAAAAGTACCATAAACAATAAGAAGTTTTAAATTAACCTATAGCTAATAACATGTTAATATGTTAAATAAACTAAGAAATATTTCAAAGTAAAACAATCACAGCTATCACATTAATAATTAAAAAATACGTATAAATACAACAACAGTCCAGTTGAATCCCACAATGGCTGAACTTAAGTATAAAAGAAACTATTTTAGACATCAAATCTAAAAACCTTAATTTTGTTTTTTTTCCTTATGATTTTGAATATTCGAACATTATATGTTTCTAAAAAAATGTGTTTCAAATATGCACACACAATATAAAAATATTTGAAGAAGGAATCACTACGGATATGAGGAATTCTTGGAAAAGAACAAAAGCATTTTTAAAATATAAACATAATAGAACTAATAAAGAATGTACTGGTATGGCTATAGAATCTGTTTTTTTTTGTTTCCACAACCCACTCTTTAAATCAATTTTTAAATTTAAGATGGGGACAAGCAATTTAATACTTGGCAATTGCAAAGATGCCATGAAATTAACAGAAAAGGGTAAAAGGTAAGTAAACAATGTCAAGTACTTTTGGCTAAGGAAGCTTAACATTCTTTGCAGTGCAGTTCTCAAGCACACTATTTGATGCAAGAGTCACATAAAAGCCATAAACAAGATAATTGCGATCAGCTTAGTCAAACAAACAAACCAGACCAAGAAACCCCATTATATCCTACTTAAGAATAGGGTATGGGGTGTTTGAGATCATCAACATAGATTTTCAGTCCCTTTTATTCAACTACTTAAATGCTAATTAGCATTAATAGTTCTTTCCAACAATTCGCTTTGTCACTTTGTTATCAATGGATGCCAATTTCACACGGATTCTGGTGAGGTTATTTCTAATACAAAGTATGGGACGCTTCCCATGACATTGGAACCCCATGTCATGGGATGACCCGGGCCACATCGGTACTACCCTTTCATGTTGTTTCCCCCACACAACTCTCTAAGGAATTCAATCTCAGTTAAAACCATCTTATGGGTGTTTTGCTCTCAACACACCGCTTTCTACCTTATAAAACATAGCAATATAAAAAACTTGTTTACCTGTTTAACCTTCAAAATTAATCTAAAAAAATCATTTTATTCACTCACATGCTCTCTCTCTCTTTCTCTCTCTCTCTCTCTACTTGTGTTGAGTCCTAGCATAGGACCCTTTAGCTTTCTTTTTGTTCTAGCAAAGATTTTTAGATGGTCGTTTTCATGTCTACAATTTTGTAATTGCTAGTAAGTAGTAACCATTGCCTTAAAACATGCAAGTGCCCTTTAAGTGTGCAAATATAAACCTATACACGAACAGCAAAGTGATAATTATTTTTCTAGATGTTCAGAATTACAATTGTTGCATAGATACTTTCGGACCTGTTGTTGTATTTTGACATTTTGTTGGCCTTCAGGCTGCACTGAGACATATGAAGATTTCTTTATGGGGTCTGTACATTTTAAAGATGTGGCCTTAGCGCATATACTTGTCTATGAAAACGCTTCAGCAAAAGGAAGGCACCTTTGTGTTGAAGCAATATCTCATTTTGGTGACTTTGCAGCTAAGGTTGCTGAACTTTACCCTGAATACAACATACCCAGGTAATTTCATCGCAAAGGCTCTTTTGTCCACTCAATCTTGATAATTAGTTTTCATATTATTTTGTGTGGTTGAGATATACTCCCTCTGTCCCAGACTATTCGTTCAGTTTGATTTTTCGAGTCGGACTAGATGAAATTTAATCGACAATTGCTTTAAGCTTGCATTGCATATTAACACAATGAAATAAAGTTCTGACAATTTTGTGATGAATCTAATGAAATCATCTTTGTACAAAATATCCAATACTATTTTCAATTTAATTGATGATCAAATTTTGTCTAGTTTGACTCAAAGAAAGTCAAACTAGACGAATACTCTGGGACGGAAGTAATATTTACAAGACGGAAATAATATGAACCTCAGGAACGGTGAAAAAGGAAAGTGAATTCATAATTTAGGGAAAAGGGGGAGTATATGATATAGTGTTGTTTCATGCTTCAATAATAGGTTTCCCAAGGATACCCAACCTGGTCTGCTGAGAGCTAAGGATGGAGCAAAGAAGCTTATGGATTTGGGCATGGAGTTCATTCCCATGGACCAAATTATTAGGGACTCTGTTGATAGTTTGAAGAGCAAAGGGTATCTGAGTTGAAAAAACAGGGTTCAATAGACAAACCTCTTTGAAAGGAGGGTTAAAAGCTGTTTATTGTTGACTCAATAAACATAAGTGATTGTGACCTTTAATCATTAGAGCAAGGAGTAATGCTGTGTACATCTTAGAGTTGAGATTATTATGGGTTTGTTGTTGTTGAGAAGCTATGTTCTTGAAAACCTTGTCTTATTATTATTATTAATATTGTTGTTGTTGTTATTATTATTATTATCATCATCATCATCATCATCATTGTTGTTGTTGTTGTTATACTCCGTAAGTTTTTTTTACTTATTTTCAATTTTTTTGCATTCGCAAAATTGTGTCTTTTTTTTGAAAAATAAATAGGTCTTCTTTTGAGTAAATGAAACTAGAGGATTATTTGGTTGGGGGGGGGGGGTGATTTGTTTTGAATTCATGGAAGAATGAGGTAATTCTATCTCCACAATGCGCAAGAGGTTATAATAATTTCATCATCACAACTGAGGGATGAGTTGGGATTGGGTGGGAGGAGATTTACCTAGTGGGTGGTTAGGGGATATGAACACTAATTTTTATAAATGGAATATTATAGACGTCTTAATTGAAGCAATGTCTTCTGTGGTCACTCAAAGAGAGTGACCATGAAACTAGAGTGAAATACATGTCTTCTAGCATACATGTCTATATAACATTATGAATTTTAGGTCTATGCAAGAATTTGTCTATGTTATTATATCCGTTCTGAAATATTTATCTAGTTTTAATTTTTTTTCACTTAATTATTATATCAATATCTAATATAATTTTTATTTAATTTCCCAATCTTTATCGTCCCAATTCATAGATTCATCCTCATTCAATATGGAAGCACGGGCGTTGCAGTCCAGATTCCGATTCTCTCGATTGTCCTCAACCCCACGTTTATGGTAAACCAAAGAACGCCTTTATTAGCTGCATCTTCATCTCCATACTCCTTTCTCTCTTCTTTATCTGTGTTTTCCTTCTTTCTCATCACTCTCTGTATGCGTGTCATGGTATAAAAATGGTGTCTTTGGCTGCAGACTTTAATGGAAAGAATGGGTTGTTTTCAAATGACACCATTTCCGCCCAAAAATTGTTTTTTTTGGAAGGATCAATAAATTCGTCAATTTCCCAGGATTCATCTCTTTTTTTTAATTTCTCCATAGATTTAGAAAGTGAATGTGTATATGCATATGCATTTGGAGGGTAGAATACTGTATAAGAGAATACTGAATTGTAAGAATGCTGAGATAGATGACATTCTCGTATAGACAGTCATTGTCTATGCGGCACTGGCGGTGTCACCCTGGGTGTCATCTGCGGTGTGACTGTGACATAACCCGCTTATGGTTGAATCCTATCTAACTTGTTTGTGGAAGCAGTGATACACACCCTCACCAATGCAAGGTGGATGTGCCCGAGAGTTTGCCCGAAAGATTTCACTCTCTAACTGTTAAAAAGGTTCTTAGAAGATCTGTTGTGCAGTTCCTCGGACTGAACTCTATTCTCTTTAATGAGTGTACTGTCACAGCTGCAACAATGCCGGAGACAATAGAATCCGATGTTGTGCGGTAATGTCTATTTCTTGCTCTTCCAATATGCTTTAATTTTCCTTGCATGAGCACAAGTGCATTGTTCTGTAACATTGATTGTTGTTTCTAATTAAAATATTTTTTCAGGACTCTAGAGCTTGCTAGTGGAGTGAGGATACAAGGTAACGGAGTTGTCTAAAGTGGTAGAATTGTAATTTGCACTCTTGATACTCTACAACAACACCAACAACTACAAAAACCCAGTAAAATCCCAACTTCGTTGCGGTTTGAAGGTCAAGATGTACGTAGTTTTATCCCTGCTAAAATAGAGAAGCTGTTCCCGTTATACCCTAGATTCATTGTTGCATTTATTGCCCGAAACTTCATGGAGAGTAAGAAGCAGGGGAAGTTTTAGGTGGGTAAATGCACCAATGCATCAAGGGTATAACAACAGTCTCTCTGTTTTTTTAACAAGGGTAAGGTTGCATACATCTAACCCCACACTCAAACAAAGTCAGGATAATACTGGGTGTTTTTGTTATTGTAATACTATCATTTTATAATTTCTAGCTACCTCTTTTTAAGATATAATTGAAGGGGAAGGGCGAGAGGCCCACGAGGGAGATCTTGTGGAGATCAATTATGTTTGCCGTAGGTCAAATGGATATTTTGTCCACAGGTAATTATTTTTGGAAGAGTTTTTTTATTATTGAAAACAAATAAAAGTGCATTTGGATTTGTGTTTCACTGTTTCCAACCAAGATCCAAGAGTGCAAAGTATTGCTTATTTGATTCAGTTCTTTAATTTCTTTCGAAAATGGCCCCTCTACTTCTAAGTAGGGAAGTAGGGGCAAGATCACACGCCAAACTCATTTAGTTCAACGAACAACGAATAGTTCAACGAATCTCTGTTCTCTGTCAACTCATTTGAAACGACGTCTAACTAGACCCTACTTATGTTTTACACTTTAAATAATATGTGTAGTACGGTGGATCAGTTAAGTGGAGAGAGTACCCCCATTGTGCTTCCTTTGGATGATAAACAGGTATTCATTCATGTTCCTCGTAATATGCACTTAACATGATAAAATTGTTCAATTTTGTTACTTCCTAGGGAACAAACGTGCACGCATTGCGAACAAAGTTTTTGTTTTTGGCCTTAAAATTTTACAATGTTGTGTATGTATCGAGCCGGGGTCTCTTGGAAACAACCTAGTAGGGGTAATGTCTACTTACACGATCCTACTTTGCGTGGTACCTTACTGGGTTTGTTATCGTTGTTGTTTCACCGTGCCTGCGACAGATAATTAAAGGTCTGAAGGAAGTAATAACGGGAATGAGGGCAGGAGGTAATTAATTCATAATCCATGACCATAAATTTAACAACTTCTAATGTTCTTGTTTTCTGCTGTTAACTGTGAAATTTAGGCCTAGTAACATATTTAACCACCCAACCCAACCCAACCCAATATATTTGAATCTGCAGGTAAACGAAGAGCACTTATACCACCTTCAGTTGGTTACATCAGTAAAAACTTAAAGCCAATCCCAGAAGAGGTATATCCCTTCAGATTTTGTATATTTTGTGTCTTTTTTTTATGTTTCGAAATTAAACTCTTTTTATGGGACAAATAGTGTACGTATGTACGTATAAAGAAAAAACGTAACGGTGTCTTGTATTTACATATGCATGATGTTGTGACAATGTTGCAGTTTGGCCCGAGACGAAGCCTCTTGTCGCATGCGAACGAGCCATTAGTGTTTGAAGTGCAGCTGTTAAAAGTGTTATAAGTTGACCCGATTTCCGTTTCACCGCAACCTGCGACAACAATGACACATTACTTTGTTAGAAAAAAACATTCGAGAACTCGAAGTCGATTATATGTTTATAATATACAGAGTATATAGAGCGGGGATCACATTCTTGATAATCTAAGACCATTACGTTTCGGTCTCTCATTACAAATTACAGCTGAAAGTTATCTTTTGTAGAAACAATATCAAATATTAATCAGTAATGGATTTTACAAATATTGCATTCTAGATTTCTAGTATTACAACTACACACATTTAACAATGTAGATTCTATGTTCTTTTGAGCATTATATAAAAGTGAAATTTGCACTATATAGTATTAAAACATACCCGAGTACGTCTTTTTCCAATAGTATCTACAACTTTTTATTCCATAAATGATACTTGAATAATGTCCCGTGGAGGGAATAATGTATTCATGAAGTTGTGATAGAGTTTTACTGTATTGGATAATCAAATTAATCCACTTACATTACATAAAATGTTCTATTTGTAGTGTAATGATCTTTTGGGCAACAACAAGAAGCAATCCACACCAAGTGATGAATTCGAATTTCAGGGTGAAAATGTACACAATTTGATAAAGACAACCGTCTCAAATTAAATTGCATGTTCATTATTGATATGATCAAATTTTTATTTATTTTCATTAGTTATTTGATAAAATGATATGGTAATGTCACTACCTGTTTTATTTTTAAAAAGTATTTTTTTTTAATTCTACACTATTTTTTATATTAATTGATTTGAAAATAATTTTAATTAAATATCATAGACTGAAACAGATAATTTAATTTGGGACAAAAGAAGTACAATAAATAGATTACTTGAACTAATTTTCAATATGTAGTCTACACTTTTTCTTTTTCTTCTAAATAAAATCCAACCATTGTGTTTCTAGTATTTTTAATTCTTTTTTTTTTTTAATTTTTGTGAAGCCAAACTTTATGAATTAATTTAGGACAGAATATCATTATTTTTTAAAAATATAGTGCGGAGTATTTCTTTTCCGGCACTCCCCAACGCCGCCTGCCATCTCCGTTTTCCGCTTCTGCACAGCACCGCAGCTCGGCGATTCAGGCGTATTCTTCAGCCACGACTCCTCTTCTCTTTCAAGGTGAATACTCTGCAGATGTTTAATTGTTTTAGACATTCATCAATTATATGATTTGTGATATGTGAATTTGTAATTTGTGGGTTTTTAAACTACTGTATGAGTTTGTGTACATTGTCTAGTTTTCCAAAAGTGATATTCTGATGATTTTGTTTGATTAGATTTTTTTCCCCATTTTGTTTCTTGGTTTGTAGTTGTGGTTTATGTTTATTCTTTCTTGTAATAGAACAGTTTTTGCTTCTAGCCCTAGTTGTTTTTTTGGAGTATATGTTTGATTTCCAGTCTCCGAAGTGGCTTGAATCTTGAATTCTTGTTACGAGTAGCTGATGTGCATTTTTTAATCTTGATTTTTTATAGTTAATTATTTGATTGTATAATTTGTGATTCGTAAATTCATTGTATTATGAATTAAGATGCAAAGATATTTCAAAAAACCATTTAAGGAAGTCGAATCACGTGAGAGTGGTTCAAATTTCATCTCAAGTGAGCCTCCACTTTCAAACCAACCATTAGAAGTAGTTTTTCATCCTAATCCCTATGTTTAATGAGCAAGGGTATGAAGAAAAAAAGATTTTGAACCTTTAAAAGCTGTCCTTAAATTGAGAAGGAAATTTTGGGATTTTCGCTCATATATTCGTGATGAAATGTGTCATAGTTATATTTCAAAAGGTCCTTTCCAACCACATGATCACAATTTCTTTTTTTCCAATTTGGAAAGAAGCATAGGTTTGTTTCATATGGATTTGATCAATATCCTTGGTTAGAATATATTATACCAAAAGATGCTATGTTTTGTTTGCCGTATTATTTTTTCAAAAGTGAGTGAGACTAAGGTGGATATCACTTTGTGCGAAGCGGGTTTGTAAGTTGGAATAAAAAAGATGGATCTGAAATTCATGTTGGTGGTTCTAATGGACCCCATTATAATTTTTTGTTTGTTTTTTGCCATTATTTTATTCATGTTAATTTTTTCCCAAACATAGTTTCTTGAGTACTAGACACTTGGACTAAGGATTATGTTTCAGCCTTTTCAGATATGGGTTCCCATGGCTTGAATTTTCGGGGTCCGCCGCTGCTCTGTAGTCTGTATTGGATTTCAGGATGACCACTCATCTTCCCCAAAAGCACCAAAGACATCGAAATAAACACAAGTTGCAGAACCTTCAAATTCAGAACTAGCTGTGGAAGATGAGATTCCCTCAATCCATTCCGGCAAGGAAGCTCCACCGCCATAATAAGCTTTCACTGGTTATAATCCAACACTTCTCATCAGGTCTTGCTAAAACCACAAAGCCCACGAAACCCCATTCTTTAATAATCACTCACGAGGCTCTCCGGGACCATGTGCTTTCTTCTCAGTGGCAATTCATCGAACAGTTTATGCCCAAACTCACGCCCACCTTGATCTCCTCCACCCTCTTCAGCCTCCGCTCATCTCCAAACCACATTCTCAAGTTCATTCAAAGTCTCAACTCCAATTGTCTTGACATCAATTGCTATTGCCTCGCCATCTTGATACTCTCTCGTCTTCCATCTCCCAATCAAGCACTGCAGCTCATCAAGCAAGTAGTCAATTCTTGTATTGCAACACACGGGGAGATTTTTGATGGGTTAATCTGCACCAGAGAGAAGCTGGAGATAAAGAGTTCGATATCTTTGGATCTTCTAGTAAATGCGCTTTGCAATTTGAGGAAATCCCGTGAGGCTTTGGAGTGCTTTCACTTGATCACTGGGAAGGGTATTTTGCCCAAGATTGAGACTTGTAATGCGCTTTTGAGTTTGTTTCTCAAGTCGAATCGGACCAAATTGGCATGGGACGTGTTTGGTGAGATGTACAGGTTGGGGATAAATTCAAATGTCTGCACATTCAATATTATGATCAATGTGCTATGTAAAGAAGGGAACTTCATGAAGGCCAGGAAGTTTTTTGAACAGATGGAGGCTTTAGGGTTCAAGCCGAATGTGATAACATTTAACACTTTAATACATGGGCATTGTCTGGGGGGTGATATCAAAGGGGCAAGTGATCTCTTTGAGGAAATGAAGGGTAAAGGGGTCAAACCAGATTCATACACTTACAACTCTCTCATCAGTGGGTTGATAAAGCAGGGGAAGGCCGATAAGGCATCTGAAATCATCAAGAAAATGGATGAATATGGCTTTGCCCCAACGGCTGTGACTTACAATACTATGATAACCATGTACTGCAACAAAGGAGACATCGAAAGGGCATTTTCTAGTAAAGATGATATGGTTAAGAGGGGGATATTTCCCACTGAAATCACCTATAATTTGTTGATTCAAGGTTTGATTCTTGAAGGGAAGATGAAGAAAGCCGATGATTTAGTCAAAGAGATGAGACATAAAGGGCTGGTTCCTGATATTATTACTTATAATACGTTGATGAACGGCTATTGTAAGGCAGGGAATGCAAGAGAGGCTTTGAGTCTTTATGATGAAATGTTGACCACCGGTCTTGATCCTACACTCGTTACTTACACTTCACTTGTTTATGTCTTGGGCAAGAAGAAGCGGATGAGGGAGGCAGATGATTTATTTGCAAGGATGGTGCAGAGAGGAATTCCCCCAGATCTTATCATGTTCAATACACTGATTGATGGCCATTGTTCTAATGGAGATGTTGAGCGCGGGTTCTTGGTTCTGAAGGAGATGGATAGGATGGGGATCACCCCAGATGAAGTTTCGTACAACACTTTAATGCACAGATACTGTAAGGAGGGCAAAGTTGAAGAAGCTCGTGAACTTCTTGATGAGATGCAACGGCGGGGAATCAAACCTGACCACATCAGTTATAACACGCTGATCAGTGGGTACTGTAGGAGAGGTGACATGGAGGATGCCTTTAGGGTCCGAGACTTGATGCTCAGTTTGGGGTACAGCCCTACACTTTTGACCTACAATGCCCTTATACAAGGGTTATGTAAAACAAAGCAAGGTGATGTCGCGGAGGAGCTTCTCAAAGAAATGGTCAGTAAGGGCATTACTCCCAACGAATATACATATTTTTCTCTAATTGAAGGAATTGGGGACGTTGACACTTTCTTGGGGAAAAAAGACCCATTGGATACGACAGAGCCGAAAAACATGTAATGTGGGTACACCAAAGCCTCTATTGGTGTGTCCTTTTAAGGTATATTCTCATGTCGCGTGCTGCTTTAAATGTCTCTAAGCAAGCAAGCAAGATGATTCATGGAAAGCCAGATTCATCACAGAGCAGGTAAATCTGGTATTCATTATTACGAGGTTATTTGGGAGTGGTTTTAAGAATGATTTTCAGCTCTTTTGCTTTGAATAAAAACAATTCGGAATGTTGTGAGATGCATAGAATTTCTTCCATTTTTACAGGAAAATATTGTGAGATACATATTACAGAGTATTTCTCTTTCCTCTACACAAACCGCGACCACATAAGTTCCACATTATTAAAAATCATATATATACTCTATTTCCCATTCGAATAAGTTTATATTTTACCAAAGATAGATTCTCTCAAGCAGACAAAGTGGCTGGCTTTTGGGAGTGCACTCTTTGATAAGAATAATGTGTTCTTGGCTGCTCTTTCTAAGAAGACCCATTGCCTCGGGATCCGTTTCTGGCAGAAGCTATGGCGTGTCGTGAAGTTCTTTTGTGGTTAAAGTCTCGTGGCATCGGAGAACTGTTTGGATAATTTGCGGAGTGATAGTCCTTTTGGTTCTTATTTTGGTTTTCTTTGCCTCTTTTGATTGCTTTACATGTTCTTTTGTTCATCGTTTGTTTATTGCCATAGCTCATGCCCTTGCTAGGAGGGTTGAGATACTCTTTTATAGTGAAATGTAAAAAGAATTCAGGTTTAATATTTTCAGGTATAAAAAATTTTTCTAAATAAAGGGTTTCGATACCTCTTGAAATTGGGAGTCTCAATATGGAGATTTGATCTCTTACTACTATCGACCATGTCTCGCCACTGGCTACCACTATCTCTACCAATCACTCCTCTTGCCCACCATTTCTACCTATCAATAAAAAAACATGTTCCCTCCGTCCTAAAAAAAGTGTATCATTATGCTAAATAAAGTTATTTTTAAGTTTTTTCAATTCATTTAATTTAAAGATTGACATAAAATTAAAAAATAAAGCTCACATATTTAAAAAACTATTACCTCCGTCTCAATGTATTTATCTAGTTTGACTTTTTCGAATCAAATTGAATAAACTTTAAGTTTCAATTACTTTTCATTTGTATTGCATATTAGTACAATAAGTTCAAATTTTAAAAATTCTCGTCAAGATAAATCTAATAAAATCCCTTTTTATACTCATATTCATTGCAATTTTTGTAAAATTGAAGCTCATAGTTCATTCTGTTTGATTCGAAAAAATCAAATTGGAAAAATACACTAGGACGGGAAAAGTACGTCAAAAGCTCTACAAAACAAGAGGTGAAAAGAATATTTTATTTTATCAAATAATCAGTAAATACGTGAAAATAAACAAATGTCCCGTGATTTTTGAATAGTGAAGTGTTGCAATCTTTTTTGGACAGCTTCATTCCATATGACAAATTCAGAAATTCTTTTATGGTCCTTACACTCTTTAGTTTCATGCACATTTTATGAAACTTCGTATATAAAATAATTTTATGTATTGAGTCTTAAAAAAATAAAAAGATCCAAATATGAGTTCATGAAAAATATAAAAGATTATATTTTATATATTAATCTTATGACCACAATAGCACAATTCTAATTTTATATTTCAAAACAGATATCATATCATACTTTCAAAACTATTACCTCTGTCACTGAGTATTTTTTTAGTTTTGATTTTTTTTCGATCAATCATTTTCAATCTTTGATCTATAATTAAATAAAATATATATTGTATATTAATTAGATAAAATTCCTTTTTGAAAATATTTTATATAATAAATATAATAAAACTATTTTTGTGTCAATATCTAATATCATTTTTACTTAATTTTCGTTTAAAATTTACTAATTTTAATTGAAAAAAGTCAAAAGTAGACAAATAATCGGGGAATGGACTAAGATTAGACTACCCTAAAAGTATTTTCAAATTCCAACAACCCTAGGACTACACTGCTGAGCTGGCAGCACCTGGCGGACCCACAGTAGCGCCACCACTACCATCGGCGCCGCCGCCCTCACCCGCGGCGATTGTAGACATTTTCCGCTTCTTGTAAACCTTGCGGTAAGGGAATCCTCTGGCCTTAGCTTGGTCACCCTTAACCTCTCTCAAGTATATCCCCACAGCTCTGGCGGCAAACGGGTTGGATTCGGGTCGGCCGCCGCCGATCTCTTCGTAGGCGGCTCTGAGCCGTCCGACGAGGGCGTCGAGGCTGCCCCAGGCCTGCTTCAGCGGGCAGGCGCACGGGGCGGGCGGGTTCCGGTCCCCGAAGTGCGGGCAGCCGGTCACGTGCACCTTGGTCTTCCCGAACCCGTCCAGGTACTTGAGGAACTCGATCACGTGAGCGCCGCTGCATCGCGGCAGCGTCAGCGGCGGCGTGTGGTTCTTCAGGTACTGCAGAAACGTAGTCCAGTCTCGCCGCTTCTGCGCCTGGTACCGGCTCGGCGGCGCCGCGGAAATTCTTCCTCCGCCGCCGTCTCCATCTGATGTCCGGCTTCCACCTCCCGATGAGTGATCCTCCCCGCTGCCAACAGGATCGGACGGCAGGGATCCAGCAGAACCCATATTATACATCTGCTCAATTTAACGCTTTAATCGAATCGATAAATTTGAATCAATAGTGCAGGCCAGTTATTAAGAACTCGAATTAATTCGATTTACAGTGCAATTCATGAATTCATCATAATGAATCGGTTAGCTATACTGCATATTCTCATACTTTGATGACATTTGGTGTTGACATGATTCCCCTTTCCCAATCACTTATAAGGTTAGCGTTAATATTTTGAAAACGACTCCAATAACTTTTAGTATTAATATTTCAAACCTAACATGATACTATATGGCAAGTGTTACACTATCCAAACATAATGCTATTTTTGTCCAAATGTATTGGTTCAATTACGTTAAGTATTGCTGTATTAGTACAAAAATTATATAGATTTATCTTGTAAAATAGTTTTCAAAAAAATGTTTTATTTTATTAGGGATAACAACCTTTCTATTCTTGAGTAGGGGTAAATCTCCATCCATGCACCCCCTCCAAATCTTACTTTCCCGGGATATTTTACTGGCTTACTGTTATATTTTTTCAATGAACCAACTTAACCAAAAAGCTCAAGCTTTTGATTATAGACGCAAGAAAAGTTATACTCTACCATGTCTCCCCTCGTGCAGGCAAGATTTGTGTTTGCTCAAAACTTGCACGTCAAACCTTCTTTTGGAATGTTTAAAAAAATGAAGACTTTTTTGGGAAAAGACTATTTAAAAGCTCTATGGTTCTCCGTTGAGTTTTGGACCAAAACCCACCGTCGCCCAAGGCTGGCCCAAGGGTTGGTCGGTCAAGGTGCCCTACCGGCCCAAACTTTTATCTGTGGCCCAATATTTTTCAATCACTAGCAGTGACACAGAAGACAACCAAACTAATTAAACTTAAATTTGGGAAAATCACCAAAAATAAGTTTAAATATCGTATTATATATATTTTTCTAATAATAAATTTTCAAACTTAATTTTTTAAAGTAATTATTATGATATTTAATTATAATACCACCATTTTGTGAATTGGATTACTATAAAATGAATTCTGTTTCAAAGACCCATTTGTTTTCGTCTCGTTCAGGGCCATCGTATCTTTGAGAACGGGTTTGCAGGAACTTCAAAGTTAGGAGGTAGGATCCCATAGAGGGTTTAATAATACAAGGGATATGCTAGGGGTACACTAAATATGTACCCCAAATGTACCATTCATTTTATTTTATTCTATTTTTAATTTTTCTTACTTTTTTTGTGGTGATGTAGGGGGTGGAGGATGTTTGGGGTACACTTTTGGTGTACCCCTAACATTTTCCATAATACAAAGAAAAGTCATGATGATTGAAGAGGTGAGTTAAATCAAAATAGGCAGAAAAGATATTTTGGAGAGGGACAAGTATTAAGGAGTATTTTAAGCCACAAAATCTAAAACATGTTTAAATATAAGATTCTTAGAAAGTTTTTTTATTCTTTCTCTGACCTTATAGATTAGTACAATTTTATTTTTTTAGTTAAAATGTGATACTCTTTGAGTACAAATTATGAAAAAAAAGTATATCTAACTATACTGTAAATTTAGTAACAATATAATGTTGAAATATCAAATTTTCATAACATTTAATTATTTGAAATTATATTTAACTCATAGTCAAAGAGTACCATAATTTAATCAAAAAGTTAAACCGTGATAATGTTTTAGAAGAGATAGGAGTACACTTCAAATTGTTAGGGATAGACTGGTCACTGGTAGTGCTTTTATTTGAAGATTCCTTTTGTCGGCCAATATAGCCAAAAAAAATTAAGTACTCCGTATTTCAGATTGCAACATTATTATCTATTCATTCAAATAATTAATACGAATATAATAAGCACCAAATCTCATTTAGCTTGAATGTACTCAAAGTCTCATATACCGATCTTGTCATAGTTTTTAGCCAACTAACATAAACTATTTCTAAATAGCATTCCCAAAAGACTAAAGCACAATTCCCAACGAGTACCAAGTATTATCACAACAATTTCACAAATAAAACTCATCATTTACTATTTCACAAAATTTAATAAGAAAAAAAACGATACTATACGATTAAAATTTATACGAAAGAAATGCTCCTTAGAATGAATGGTAAACATTCAAACAAGAAAGCAAAACATGTGGCTCAAAGGAAAAGAAACCTTGTAAACCACATACCAATGCAAACAATCATGTTGTTATCTACTCCCTCCGTCCCCCTGTATTTGTCCACATTTGACTTTTGGAACTGTTCATCAAAGCACTTTGACTCATCAAATTCTCTTAATATGTAAGCCTAAATATAGTCATGTGTGATCTTGTTTGATTTGTCTTAACATATAGATTATTAATATATAATTTCTATAATTTTTTAATATACAAATTACAAGATAAAATGGATTGGAGAAGTGCATTGGATGGTGTGTAAAAATGAAAGTGGACAAATACAGAGGGACGGGGGAAGTACGATGTTTGAATAAATTTATTTTCAAATAAATTTATATAAAAATTGGTGTAGAAGTCTATACACACACACACACACACACACACACACACACACACACACACACACTCCCTCCATCCACAAATAAACTTTACATTGCGCGTTACGATGTTTGACTGAAGTTATTTTCAAATCATTTTATATGAAAAATGGTGTAGAATTGAAAAATAAAAATTAATATTAAAAAACTACTACCTCCGTTTCTCAAAAGAGTTCCTCTTTTGACTTTGTGGGGAAAATAAGGAAGTGTTAAATTGTAGTTGACTTTCCAATTTTGCCCTTGATGTGATGGGTAAAAGTATGATGTGATAGTTTAGTTGTTAGTGAAAAAGTATGATGTGATAGGTAGGGTATGAAAAAGTAGGGGTAAAAGTGGTTTTTTAATAGAAAGGGGAAGTGTTTTAAGAAAAACAAAAAAAATGAAAGAGGAAGGGTTTTAAGAAACGGAGGGAATATATCAAAAGATAAACAAAACTAGAGATGACATGACTACATTATTTTATCAAATGGGTGACGAAAATAGGCCAACAAAGTGAATAAAGTTTGACCCTGTGAATAATGAACGTAAAGTTTATTTGTGGACGGAAGGAGTATGTATGTATGTGTGTGTGTGTGTGTGTGTGTGTATATATATATATTAATAATCTATATGTGGATGGAGGGAGTATATATATATATATATATATATATATATATATATATATATATATATATATATATATATATATATATATATATATATATATATATATATATATATATATATATATATATATATAGTAAATTACTCCGGCATGAATTTAGTCACTTGCTTCATAGTGAACAAATGACATAATTTCTGGTAAGATTACCTGTAAAAAGCTTCATCAAGTTAATGTAGGCTACAACAGCTTGCAGCAAACCCAGTAAAATCCCACAAGGCAATAGGATCTGAGGAGGAAAGTTCATTTAGAATAGAACCGGAATCGAAATTATTTATATGTGAAGAAAACCGAAAAGAGTTGCAGAAATCCTCATATCAATGGAGCTCCAAGTTTCATTGGAAGCCAGGCATAAAAGATTAGTCAGTCACAAGAGGCAACAGCAAGTGCTACACTCAGGTCATTGGAGGTTCCACATAGATACATCCTGTGTGTCTCTATATCCTCCTGTTGTTCATTGTTCCTTGGAGTATTGGTAGCATAATAACTTCCACCCACTGTTTCTCTTTTGGAAAATATGATCTCCCTTAGGATTGGTTCATTCCCATTGAGGAGGTTCCCCATGCTCAGCACTTTCCTCCATGACTGGTTGGCGTTGGGCGGAGTGAAGATGCTCGCAACCACCTCTCTCTCTCGCCGTCTCACGCGTTGCTTCTTCAAGAACTCCTAATCCCCGTCAGTATACGTTTCAGTTCAAATTTTTTTCGAAAAGAAGCACATGTAACATAGGATGTTATCACGAAATGGGAGGGAGGAGGTGGATTTCTTAAGGGTCCGTTTGGTATAAGGAATTGGTGGAATTGGATTGGAATTGAAATTGCATGGGATTCAATTCCATAGAATTGAACTCTGTCAATTTCAATTCATTTTTTGCACTATCAATTCCAAATCCACAAAATTTTTGTGCTACCAAACACCAGAATTGGAATTGAAGCCTCCAATTCCAATTCCATAGTTTGAATTCCATGTACCAAACGGGACCTAAGAATGTCTAAATACGATTATTTCATCGGTTCCATTGACACTCACTTTGAATGTCAACAGATCACACCGGTTCAAATTGATGGTTCCTACCCCTCGTAACCTCCTTGGTAACCCCCCCCCCCCCCACTCTAGCACTACCCGAGCCCACCCCACCAGGCCACCACCTACTTCAATTGCACCCCCTAAATTTAGTTGAGTTTGAAGTAAAAACAATTGACCCCAAAGTCAACTAAATTAAGGGGTGGCAGAGTGAGTTTGGGTCAGCCAGGGTGGGGGGTTTACCAGAGATAGGGGGTAGAAAGCATCAATTTTGCAAATGGAGCACCGTAAGTGTACCAAAACCTCAATGGCACCGTAGTGTCAACTGGGGTCGGTGTCAATGGAATTGCCTCCCTGATATCATTCATATTTAACAGATATGGGACATTTGAACCATGGGCCTCCATGATAATTAAAGGAAAGCGAAACGATTTTACGCTGTGGAATCCTTGGTACACTCTACATGCAAAAATTCTAAATAAAATAATGACTGAAAAAAACAAGAAAAAGTAGATGCCTAACCTTGGTATCACCCCCAACTGAAGCAGTTCCCATTTTAGGAATGTAGAAGTTGAAAAAGTCGTTGAAAATTGCTTCAGATAAACGTGGCGCCTGCAAGAATGTACGATGAACAGAAGCCGCAACGATGACCAACTTCTCCACATGTTCAAAGATGGAAGAAAGGCGCTTCAGGTCATCAATAATTTCAGCATCAGCAGAAAGGTCATTCTCTGCAACAAGGGGCAAACCCTAAGAATGAACGCAGCTACAAGATGGGAGTCCACTTGCATCACGGAAAACACTTGAGAAAGAAATTAGTAAGGACATAAAAAAAAAGATAATTTGATTTGGAATGAAAGGAAAGGAAATTTAAGAGGAAAGTAAAAGTTCAATATAAATACCAAGAAATTTAAAAAACTCGTATGTAATTTTGAAAAAAACATCCGTATTTCATTTTCCATAGCATTTCCCAAAGTAAAGCCAAATGCAAGAAAATAACTTTCATTTGTTTTCCCTTTCCATAGCATTTTCCAATATCCAAGTATGCACTAAATGAAAATGAATATTATCAGAGAAATAATACTTTGTAAGCATCTCAAGGTTGATGCCAGGGTGAGATAGAGTTGGTCCATTTTGATTGACATTTGTTTTAAACCTCCAAAAGATGTCCGATTTAGTGTGTCAGCTGCTGCTCTGAAAGCCGTGCAAATCATTTGAGCCAACAACTGATTAGGTCGCAAGGTTTCCAAATAATGAAGAGCCTGTGGCAATTAGAATGATGCAGAGATGAAATCTATGATTGAAGATATACTCAGGAAAGCAAATGCCTACAGTTTTCTAAGGGTCACTTTTGATGGAGGGGTTTAGAGGGGAGGGTTTTCAAGGGCTAAGTTTGTATCTTGATAAGTATTTAAAAATAAATATAAAGGCCCTCAAAAGTCTTCCCCTCGGAGCCCTTTCACCTAAACAGGCCCTAATTGAAGTTAATAAAAAAAGGCTTCAAGTTTTTCATAATTGGTGAGAAAATACACATTGCTATTTCCTTTATTGTTTTCTCAAGACTGAACTAGCCATGTCATGGAAGCTGTGATTTTTAAAGTAATCCTTTATCTTTTTGTACCCCCGTGCCAAATTGCAGTTAACAGACAAATGGTAAAGTTAATATTAAGATATAAATATGTAATAATCATAATACCTTTTCACCTTCTCGATTTGGATCTACAAGAGGCTTCTGCTCAGAAACTGGCAAAGGAAGGGCTTCATTCCAGATTTTTCTCCAGTAATTTCCTTTATCTGACATTCTTTCTGAAAGCCTTCCTTGAGGAGGCCACTTTTTTATTGACCCTCCCATTGCATTATTATCATCACTCTCCCAGTCTCTAGGTGAATGCCATCTGATAAAATCCTCAAATACAGAATCTGGATTTGCTGCTTTAAATGCAGACATATCTGATCCACACAGTAGTAAGATTTGCCTTTATCACTATTTATAACACACACGGATATCATAATAGTTCGACTATGAAACTTGACAGAATAAGGTTAATCTAATTAACGTTCTCACTCATTTAGCAAAAGAAGGATAACTCTTCAGGTAGACAGGTATTATTAAGATACGTTGCATGAGAGCAAAAACTACACACTAAAGAGTCATCAAATCGTACATGGTACATCACATGCCTAATGCCTAAATTAAACCACATTTTATTTATCTATAAACATAAAGAGAGGCATAAAGTCCTCCTGGAAAATGTAAAAGATGTTCCAAGACTTTTTTTATAAGAATCTTGTGCAAGAACAAGGGATTGATACCTGATGACAAAACCTCTTTTTCCAATTGAGCTGAGCTCTGCATAGCAGAAACATAAAACTTCATAATCAAAATTTTAAAAAAAACATAACTATATACGATATTTTCACTAATGTAGGAATGTACAGATCGTGAAATAAGTATGAGATAAGAACTGACTAATGTAAGGAAATCTAGTACCCAAGAGACTTCTAGGTATATCTTTCATTTTCAAATAAAGTAGCTTAACATCTTCAATGGATAAAGTACTGATATATAATCATCCAGTCATACAATGCATACATGTGCACAAGCATACAAACAGTTATTCCCACTACCCGATAAAATAAGTGGTCATTGCCATAGATATCATGGCTAATCAGCCTATTCACAAACCATGCATGAAGTGTTTCTACTGCTTTTCATAAATGTTTGATTGAAAAGTGCATATGATTTTTTTTCTCCTACACTCGCTTGCTTTGTACCCATTTCTCCATTGCCAAATGCCATGGATAGCCTGTTGGAATATATAGCTCCAATATACATCCCCTCAACTTTAACTGTTCCTTGAAATGTATCCTAGGTAAAGCATCTAATTCTTTTCACAATTGTAAAAGGAATAAAGATGAATGAAACTCAGAACAATACATTCAGACACATATTTCTCATATGTAGCATTGGGCTTACAACAGAATTGCCAAAAGCTTCAATTGCTTGGAGACGTTCTTCATGCATGTCTTCAGTCATAAGCAGTGGATCCTGTAAGAATTTTACATATCACCTGGTGAGTGTGGATTTAAATCATAAGGCTTTCAAAGGGACAGCCTTATCAGGAAGAAGAAAAAACGGTCAGTTCATGAATGTATATCAACCTGGGTGTATGGAGTGTGCATGCTCTGTTGTGATTTCAGAAGCATCATAGACCCCATTGTACCAGCTGATCCTTTCCTAGTATGCCTTGGAAGCTTCTGATTAAAAAGTTTTTCCGTCTCAGAGGGAGTATCACGCGGACCATCTGTAGTAGATCTGCAAAAATAGCAGTCATAACGAAATATACTCAATATTCAAACATAAAAACTGCATTAGCAAATTGACAATTCCTAAATACTACAACAACTACAACAAACCCAATATAATCCCAACTCCATTGGGGCATTGGGGGTCAAGATGTACGCAATCTTACCCATGTAAAAACAGAGGAATCTGTCCCTTGATGCATTTCATGCCCAAAACTTCATAGAAAAGCAAGGGAGGTTTACTATGCCATTTTTATTTACTCCATTATTTACCTGAAGCTAAAACATTGTCAAAAAATGACTCTTTTAGCTCCATTGGCAATGGGCACAAAAGTAACAATTCCTACATGTGAAACAAAAAGTGAAAACACAACCCTTTGGCATATAGTTCTTCATTTATTTATATTATGCGAGTAATTGCTGCTTTTAGTCTAATAAAATCGGGAAAATCTGCCCAACAGTCATGAGCCTCCTGGCCATATGAAAGTAGGAAACAAAGCTGAAGAGGGAATACTTGTGTACTACATTCCTTAGGTACTTCTCCATATTCTTCTTAAATTTAGAAATCGTCTAGAGAAAGAAACAAATTTGGGTTCTATGAAGTATATTGAAGACATGAAATGAATAAGTATGTGACTTCTAGTCCCCAAAAATGGTGACTTCATAATAACAAATAAGCAACACCTTTCAATTAACCTTTTATTTGAAATTTCTTGGTTTGAAAGAATGCTAACACTGCTCATACTTCCTCTGTCCCTCAAAGATATGTGAGTATTTGAATTTTTTGGTCAAAGACTTTGAATTTTGACCAATGTTTTAAATATTGAAAAGATTTGTTTTTATGAGCATTCTTAACAAAAAAATCATTTCATATTATTTTCACTTTACATACCATTTTGTATACAAAAAATATTCCATCCCGTAAAAAACTTCCTTGTTTAACTTTCATAGAATTTAAGAAATGTGTGGAAAAGTGAAAAGTTTATGGTTAGAACTGGTTTAGAGGAGAGAGAAGAATTGTGGTCCACTCATTCCTTTCTTTAGGATCGAAGTGACGTTTTTCTGGGACAAACAAAAACGAAAAAAGAGTGTAGTGTTTATGGGACGAAAGGAGTATATTGTTGGTCTAGTTTCAACATCAGTTACCAAAAGGTCAATTGTGGCCTATCTTTGTGTGACATGAGTCACATGACGGCGGGGGTATTAATTATTTATATGTTTGCATGGAGCATAGAAAATATGAAGAATAATACATTTTGGTCAAATGGTGTTTGAATGGAAACCACGGAATGAGAGTTCTTATGAAATGATGATGAAAATGAAGAAAATCCTACATGATAAAACTAAATACTTTTTCCCTTAAATCCTTTTCATAAAAGCTCTCCTCATTTTCTCCAAAACATCCCGCTCCATTTTTTCCTCCCCGATATATTTTCATTCATCTTCTATGGATGGATGCAAGATTAAGGTGTTTCAATTATTCCAGTCGTTGGGAAATATATAGCATGCCAAGCATAGTAAATTAGTGATGGAAAATCATTAAACTGTTGATAACTTCTTAATAGTGGAAGTGGAACTTCAACCATACAAGTATACAAAAATATGAGTTTCAAAAAGAATAACAAGGTGAAAAGATCTATCAGGATTGGTTAGCATTCAATAACATTTACATAAAGTTCTCACTCGCATTTCACCTGTTAAGTTCCTCACAAGAACCCGGCACATCATCAGGATATATCTCACTCCAATCCTGATTATCTTCCTGCATTGGGTTTTAACTTTCGTTTCAAGGAATTGGGCATAAAAATCCTTAAATAATCTTCTACTGAAAAAGTGTATGAACAACAACACAAATGAGCAAGTACTACCTTGACATTAGTATTAAGCATATCCTTGTATTCGCCTTTTCCCTGATTATGCTTTTGGTTATGTTGCTGTTTCTTATCTATGCAAATTGCAAGCTGAAAATCAACATAAGGAAGATGAATATTTCATAATTTACAACACTCATAATATATTTTTCCAGAAACCTAGATACTCCAAGACTATTGCACCAGCTAGATGGAATGATGGTTTCACTACATCAAAGATTCACTTTCCCAAGAAAGCAGTCAAAGTGGAAGATAATTCACTTTCCATGGGAATTCACTTTCACATCCCCCCTTGTCATTTACTGATTTAATTTCCATGAAAAGTGAGTGCATTTAAGCTAAACTTGATCATATTCCACTGAATTATTTTAGTTTGTATCTCTTTTTCCTGCAATGTTACCATTTTAATAACATTTTCAACCAATCTTTCAAGTTAGACCCCATTCATGGGATTCTACTGGGTTGTTTACAAAAAGTTTTTCTTTCCAATCAGTCTGAAATAAGTAGCAACTGGGAACCAACTTTTAATGTTGTCCCCTTTCAGTTTAGCTCTCATCCCAAGTAGATCTATTTATGGATATTTCAATACTGAAACAAAAGGAAGTGCGGGGCGGGGGGAAGGGTGGGAGTAGGTCTTTGGTTGAGTGTATATCAACCCTCGACAGAATATGGTCCTTAAGGTCCTTTTGAGTTTAGCTCTCATCCCAAGTAGATCTATTTATGGATATTTCAATACTGAAACAAAAGGAAGTGCGGGGCGAGGGCGGGGGGCGGGGGATGGGTATTTGGTTGAGTGTATATCAACCCTCGACAGAACCTGGGTGTGTACACACACACACACACATATTGTGGAAATTAAAAATTTTAAAGGATATACAACCCAATGGCTCATGAGCCCAAATAATAAAGACATACATACATACATATTTATATACATACACACACACTCTCTGTATGTGCATGTGTGTGTGTGTGTGTATTCACATAGAGTTGAATTCCACATATAATGACTCATGGACTCACCATGTGCAATTTCTGATTAACCAAAGAAGTTGACAGGTCAATTACACCATTTGCTGGCATTCGCGGTATTGGCTGTGACTCTTCCCAACACCAACGAATTTCTCTTACAAACTCTATCCAGAGTACAGCAATTGCTAGAAAGGGAGGGAGTGTGGGGTACGGTTTAGCAAAAGCATATGCAAAAATAAGTATATTGATTTAATTAAATATCCTAAGAATAACTTGTCAAAAAATAATCATACGAGTACTTACTTTAGTGAGGAAAAAATACCCAAACAAACAAAACCAAACAAATACCTCGTACATTGCAATCTCCAAACCAAAGAGCATGAAGACAGAACTGTGCAAAAAGAGATTGAAGAGGGGCGCCTTTGATGGCCCGAGAACTCTTAGGCTCACCTTCAGGGAAACGGAGTCCCACCCCTTCAGCTAATTAACACATAAGAACATAGAGAAAATGAGAAGCAAAACGTCTCCTTCATTTAGATTAAGACAATAAAGTTCTAGAATTCAAAAAGATACAAGTATACAAGAATACAACAATAAAATATGTAGATGGGCAATGGTTACAAAACACTGTTTCAGAAAGTACCATCATCGCTTAGGCACAATATAAAACCTACAGTCTATAATAGCCAATGTAAACTGAGAATTCAACTTACTAAATCAATTTATGTGCAATCAATTAAAGGTTAATGACAAACGATTAACTTAAGTTTTCAGTGTGCATCGGGTCATTGCTCTAAGTATGCAAAAAATGTAGATTCATTACAAGCTTGTCCACTAAGAAAAAGTGTCCAATTTAATCCTTTTCAAAGCTACTAACCCAGAGCAACCAACCACCTTCTGTAACTAGATGCAGAAAAGATAACAGTGCATAATTAAGATTGAATATTTCTGTACCATTATCAAAGAGATCTTTAAGCACACGAGCAAGAACTGTTGGTGGAGGTATGACTGCAGTAGACTTTATGCCTTCAGATCCAGAACTCTCAACTGCCAGAGAAGCAAGTCAAAGATCAAACTTGTCAAAAATGTTAACTCATGTATTTTCTATTTAACATCCCCATAGGTTGTAACTTCTGACTAAAATGCATGCAGATTCAATTAAGGATCAATTGACATTAAAAATTAGAAATCTTAATGTTTCTGATTCACATATTTTCAAACCTGAAACAAAATCCTCCATGAATTGAGCCTGAAAAGACTTAGCCAAAGCATCAACTAAAAGATGCAATTGCGATGAAAATCCAATGATTTTCCCATTACCAGTGCTGTATGAAGTAGAAACTTAAATTACATCAGATTCCAAAATAAGTATGCAAAGTTCAATTGACAAACATCAGGATTAATTATCAACAGATAATACGAGATTGTGGGACAATACCGATATGAATATCATAACATCTAATATTCCTGAGCATAACGATTTTGAAACTAAAATAAGAACCAAGCAAACAAAACTAGCATGAATCAAGAGTGGGTGACTTGTTCTCCAGATACAGCTTTAACTGAGTAACAAACAGATAGTCAAATATGTTGGGTAAATGGTAAGCAGACCACAAAAATGTATTGCCTCATATCTAAGCAATCAAATATAGTAACTAGCAAGAAGACCACAAAAATGCATTGTCTCGGATAATAGCATCCTACTAGAAAACTTTAATTATAGGATATCTTCATTTTATATTCTAGCATATTTCAGCAGTTCTATTGCAAATTTCAATATAGAAGTTCTTTTGGTTCCATGGGGATAGACAATATCACAATAATTTGCAACTGTATGAAGAGAATTTCTTACATAGCTTCAGATAAATTTGGAGATATCAACCACTTCTCAGCTTCAAAGGGTGAAGCATTTTCCAATACCGCCATATCTGCCGAGCTTCCAATGATTGTCTCAGACCATATGGCAAACAATTCAAATCCTGCAACAAGTAACTCAGAGAATAAGTGTGCTGCACCTCCAAAGGAATATAGGATATGTTAATATATTATATGATCCAATAGTTGCATAGTGCAGACGTTCTCATATACTTCTATTTTTTCTTTGAAGGTGTACACTGTTGCAACAAGATGAAGTAAAGGGAAATTAAAAGGTATGACTGCATGCCCAGATTACTAAGGTTAACACACTAAAAATTTCATATATCAGGGTTCAAAAACCGTGTGATTTAGTTAACCCGATAGCCGCAAATTAAAATTAACATGTTCGAGTGTACGATGATAGTCCATATCTGTAGGCCACCATAAACATTAAAAGGAAGCTTCAATAAATGTTTTCACTTATAAATCATTGTGACAAGATCAAAAATGCTCGAAGATGAGTCATAAAACATGGTCAACATACAGATGAAAATATCTGAGGTGAATTTACCCTTTATTGGGTCCTCAGCTGTGTACCACTCACTCCAAGGGCAGTCATCATCCCAATGTGTTTTGTTATGTCTGTAGCTTTTGGGACTCTCGTCAGACTCCTGTATTTCAGCATCCGTTTCTTGGGTATCATTATCACCATCATCATCATCGCAAGGAAGCGACTTGTAGGTCAGCTTCATCTTGAGGTTCACTTTGAATAGATGCACTGACAAGTCCATATTGAAGGCCTTGAGCATGATATTTAGGAGCAACACACACAAATAGTGATACATGTCAGTGTTAATTTAGGGATAAATTAGAGGAAACACATAATGCATGCATAAAATCATGCTGTTTTATATATTTTTTAACAGACCAGCAACTGAGACTCCTTGTCCAAAGAAATTTCAGGCTCAGCTGAAACATAGGCCCAATATAGTTGAGTATTTTTAGATACCATATACACAGAGTACACTATATCCACTTGCAAATGCATCATAAACATATCCATATAGAAAACATTGTGAATTACTTCTTTGGATGAGTAACCCACCCTAATGATCTGGTCATAGAAAACACTTGTGTCTCTAGAAAATATGGGCCTGTACTTTTGGGTTGGAAAAACATAGTTAGGTGTTGGAAGAAACTGAAAGAAATTGGAAGAAGTTGGAGTGCTAGAGCCCGGAAGGAGTTGAGAACAATTGGAAAAAGTGAGAGGAGTTGGAAAAAATTGGAAGGAGTTGGAAGAGGTCGATATTATGTTATGAAAATTTCAAGTTCTTATTAAAATAATATATACTCCATTAACTTCACTTTTTGTCTCAGTTTCTTTTTTTCTGTGTCACACTATTTTCTGACTCGCTTTCCATCATCTACGATGGAGCCAAAATTTTACTATTTTTTGGCATTGGAATGTGATGGAATAAAACAAAAATGGATCTCTAAAGTCTAAGTGTCTACGTTTCTTTAATAAATGAAGTAACAATTAGTCAATCAATGCAACTTTCGACCATAAGCTAGAGGTCTCTTTGGAAACTGCCTCTCTACTTTCGAGTAGGGGTAAGGTCTGCGTACACACACCCTCCCCAGACCCTACTCTTGTGCGATTCAACTGGGTTGTTGTTATATGACTCAAAGTCATTACTACTTTTTCTTGCACTTTTCAAGATCAATAATACAATTTGTTTTCTTAATTTGCATGCCATTAACCAATATTCCATAGTAGATAAAGTGAGCAATATTTTGTACTCCTTACACGTCTCAATAACTTTTGTTTATTTGTATGTTTTCATTGATTATTTAATAAAATAAAATATTTGTGTCACCTTTTGTTTTGTAAAATTTCTGACGTAGTTTTTTAATATTCAAGTTTTGTTTTTTAATACCAAATTTTAAATGAAATGATTTCAAAAAACACGGGGTTTTACTTCGTAATGCAAAAATTGTAATCTCATTTGGAATGGAGGAAGTATTAATCTTAATTGAAGGGAAAAATTAACATAAATAGTCCAACGTTATCTTAGATTCTCGGTTAAACAAAAATAATCTTACATTGCACTTTATACACTAAAATAATTACATGTGTTGTGTGACTTGTGTCTCACAAAAAAGACCGAAGAAAAGTTATTACGGAGCATTTTTATTTCAAAAATAATATTTAAACCACAACATTATTAAAAGAAAAAATCACTCAAATAAATGTACAAGAAAACCAAATTCAGATAAAAGAATTTTATCTTTGTCCGTGTTTGAGGGGTAGCATATTACAAATTTGGATGTACATTGTTATTGTATATTTTTCATATGTACATGCATAAGTTAAGCAATACTCATTTCATACTGTTATTTTTCTACACGCTTTGAGCATGTAAATTGTTATAGTGTATTTGACAATATTAATTTCATTGCTAAAAAACTTTTAATTTTGTTGCTAAATGAGCAAAAAAAGTAAATAGCACCACATCGGCACATTCTAATACCGTAGAAAATTAACATTATTAGTTCTAATGTAAATAAGGTACAGTGTGAAGGTAATTTTGTTTAATTGAGCAAACGTTAGATTACTTAAGTCAATTTTTTCTAATTAAGAATAGCACTTATAAGAAACTGATGATTTATTTTGATTATTCTACTTTTAATTGTATGTAACATGGAGAACAAAAGAAATATCTTTTTATATAAATTGTGACATTACTTCAAAAAAATTTATTATTTTATTGGCATTGATTATGATGATGATGATAATAATACTACTACTAATAATAATAATAATAATAATAATAATAATTGTTATAAGAATAATATGAAAAATACACTTAAATAATTTTTTAGTCATTGTTAGAAGAAATTAGGAGTTGGAAGAAATTGGAAGGAAAGGAAACTGGAAGAAGTTGGGAAAATTGAAAAGAGTTAGAAACACATTGGAAGGGGTTGGAAAAGGTTGGAAATTAAGAGTTAGAACCCAAAAGAAGACACTTTATGAGGTATATGGTTAAAGTAACATAGCGGAGAGCACTAAAGATATGACCATTCAAGACCATCCTTAGAACAACAAAACCCAGTATAATTTCATATATGTTGGTGTTTTGGTCAAGATGTGCTCATCCCTGTTTTCACAGAGGCTAGGTTGTTTTTGGTAGACCTATGATGCATTGCTGCATTCACTACCCAAGACTTCATAGAAAGTAAGAAGCAAAGGAAAATTAACTGCCAGCTTCAAAGAACCCCAAAATTTCAAAGTATAAAGTTCTTGTCATTAATGAATGAAATCAAGAATAGTTATAGAAGGTCATAGCAAAAAAAAATCCACACAAGATAAAAACGAATAGACAAACTAAGCATTGGCAAACCAATGTGTTGAAATTATGAATGGAGGGGGCTACGTACAAATTTAGAGACAAATAGCTCATATAGTCCCTCCAAGTGCATAAGCCTCACAGGAACCTGACTACCAATACAATCAGCCTCGAATCTTCTTGTGAAAAGTGTACCCATATTCTGAATGCCAATGTAAGCTTTACGAGATGGATCATGAACTGGAACAAAAGCAGGCCACAGACTGCAATGCACAGGTGAAAATAATTGTTTGCTTTACGAAATCTCAAATACTCGTAAAATGTACATAAACTGAAGATAAGACAGAAGTTAGACTTTATACGCCTTATGACCCCACCCCCCTTCTTAAGAATATAAAGTCATTTTACAGTGACCAACCTGAAACAGTTGGATAATGCAATAGCAACTGCACTTAATAGCTTGGTGGCCTCTGGTCTATCAAGAAGTACACCACTTGCACTGAGTGGAGCAATCACCTAAGAGATAGAAAATACCATTGTCTCCTTGAGTTCAAAAAATTACATGCCCAGGAAGAGTGCATGAATAATAATGAGCAAAGTTAAGATAGAGATAGTGAGATACCAGAAAGTCTTTCACCCCAAAGGAGACCTGCAAATCGTGCAACGCATGAGTCCAATCACTTGTTTTTCCTGGATCAAATTGGATTTAGAAAAGAAAGAACGAAAATCTTTCGAGCTGGACAGAGTAATTGAATGCATGCATGCATAGCATACCATCACTATTTGTTTCAAAATAGTACTCCATCAGATAGCTTTTAGTAGCATACTTAAGTTCAGATTTGACTTTATAAAGTCCTTCAAAGGCATCCAAGCAAACAGCATCCTTCTTCTATTAAATTGTAAAAAAAACCAAACACATAAAAGTGGTAAATTACACTGGTAATAGTAATGCAAATTTGTTTTCCTTGTATAAGAAATGCAATTTTAGATTTAAACAATTGTAATATGAGTCTTCTAATGGAACGTGACTATAACAACCATCTTAACTCATTGACATTTCATTATATTTTCATGGAAGTCAAAATAACCTATGATAACGATGGTTTTGAATTTCATCTAATAGTTCTTTCGTAAGATTGTTGCAACAGGAAGAAGGTACTCTGACATAAAACATTGCCACTAACGTTGCTAAGTTTAAAAATTTTAATGCATTATTTTGGTGCTACCTGTTAACTGTTAACTAAATTAATTAACACTATAACTTCCAGCCACTGGCCCCAACAGTAGTTGGGATCAAGATGCTAGTGATGATGATGACCAAGTGCACCTTTGGAGTTAAGTCATTCAACATTTGAAACACAGGGTACATGAATAGGCTATTTCAAAATACTACAAAAAAAACAGATACATTGTTAAATCTTCATATGTTTTGCAAATGCAGGGCGGCTACTACTTCCAATATGTGTGACCCAAATGCATGGCACCTATTACTTCCAATACTTCCAAATGCAGGGCGCCTATTAATGCAGGGCGCCTATTACAGAGCATTAACGTTAACTACACATGGAATAAATTGATACTGTGTGTGAACACAAAATATGGTAAATTTTACACCTGGCCTACACATGAAACTGCTTTCACAACAATTCTTATGTCCTTATTAAAAAAAATCTTAGACGCAGTTTCGGGGTGTGCTCCACTGGGAGTCTGGGTAATGGAAAAGTACCATGTGTCCAAATCTTAGTGCTATGCGTAGACAAATAAACTTTGACCAGAGACTCCAAAAAAAATTGAAAAGCACTGTGCTAAGAAGAAGCTTGGAACTTATCCCAAAACTCTAACAAAACATAATATGAGAAAAGGAAATTCAAAATGGTATTCAAAATTAAGGGACGAAGAAAGAATTGTGGACTACTTCATATCATATAAAAACCACATCACGATTATAGTTGATGCCAATGCGTTAGGCATTAGCTGCAACAGATGCCATGATTCTAAAGGAAATCAAATTTCAGAGTAATACGGAGTATATTATTGCTATTATCTATTTACATTTTTTAATTTCCATCATCTCCGATGGAGCCAAAATTTCACCATTTTTTGGCTTTGGGGTGTGATGGAATAAATCAAAATGGATCTCTAAACTGTCTGCGCTTCTTTAATTAATGAAGTAGCAGTCAAGCAATGCAACTTTCGACGTTGAGCCGGGGGTCTCTTTGGAAACAGCCTCTCTACTTTCAAGTAGGGGCAAGCTCTGCGTACACACACCCTCCCCAGACCCTACTCTTGTGGGATTTAACTGGGTTGTTGTTGTATTTACATTTTAAATGTTTGTATAGTTCATATACATATCAACATATGTATTGATGAGCATGACAATACTTCAAAAACCAAGCCGCATAGAAGGGTATATGACCGTAGAGGTGTAGACGAACCAATCTTACCAATAAATTACTAGGGCCATCTGCCAGCCATTGCCTGCAAACTGCCTCTATCTCAGATATGAACCTACATAAAAGTAAAGTTGGATTCTTTAACTCCTGTGTCCTACCACCACAATTCGAATCATCTCACTCTGCACTTATAATAGATCAGTAAATACATTGAATAACCATAGTAATACCTTTCCCATGAAGATGCCAAAGTGAAATCATCAAAATGTTCGAACTGCAAAATTAATTGGTAAAAGTTCCAGTACACTATCTTTCTCTATACATGGAGCAATTGTTTTTCTTACGCATTTACCACATATGAAACTGAAGTTCAAATTCCCAAAAAAAAAATCGAAAATAAAAATGGTGGTGAGTGAATGATTCTGTACCTCCTCGTCCTCTGGGGGCGTCGATCTTCTGCTTGTTGATGCCATTGAAATGTAGCGGAACTCAGATTGAAATCAGACCATTTTCAACCTTCTCATTCATTTCTATGAAATCAGATCGTATAGGCTTCATCGGACAACTAAAAATAAAAACATGTCGGCGGAATCAAAATGCCTGTTTCTATCTACAAATGTAATCGGCGGCGGACTCCTGCGAAAAGGAAAAGCAAAGCGTCGGTGTTGGCATGGATGGCCGGGCATTACCTGTTCGGCGAGCTCCGCCTACGGTGCTCCGTCTTTAATGGGGAAAAAAACTAGAAAGTACGTAAAAGTACCTTCTGAACGAAGGTCGAAAGAGAGAAAAAGGAAAAGGAAACGTGAGCGGCAGGATTCGTACCTGCGCGGGCAGAGCCCACATGATTTCTAGTCATGCCCGATAACCGCTCCGGCACGCTCACTGGCTTGTCAGTAGATTGCAAGCCATCATACAGAGAAGTACCCAAAGCCTTAGTTCTTTTTTTTTTACTTTTTCTTATTGTGCAATCGTGGTGATGGAGGATACGGGCCTCGTGACTATTAACCCATAGCTACAGCCACAGGTCCAGGAAGGCTGAGCCCAAAGAAAGCCCAAGGAGGACCAAGGAGACCCACTTTGAAAATTGTCATGAAGTGCTTTGATCGGCCGCTTTGTGTACCTACAACCATCTTTTCAGAAATTTCTGACGTTCAACATTCCTATAATTCAATGATCCTCTACCATTGGGGATATATTGAACTCATCCGTATGAAACTTTTCTTAGAAATTTGCTCTAGCAATATGTCAATTCGCTTCTTTGGCCAGTTATAATATGGTTATTAAAGGCGTATAATCATTCCTCAAGAATATGGTGTGATCCTTTCATATCATCTGCATCAGACCCATGTCATTCTTGTACCAAGTAAAAGAGAATGGCGGGTCAGAAATTTTTGTCTCATTTTCATTGGACATTGTTTAATAAATATCTATTGCGTAAACATGAGTCCTATCAGTATCTCTATATGACAGATTAATACCCTTGGAATTAAAATATGGGCATGATTGCATTGCCACTGCAGTGACATTGAGATTTTGAGGTACATACGATGTTTCGTTCGTAAAATTGAAACTCCCACTCCAAGCATGGCAAAGCTCACCCTAAGATTTTGAGACACATACAATTTGTGCACTTTTGATTCTGATAAAAATCTTTCACAATCACTGTGTAACAGCTAAATGAGTTAAGAAAAAAATATGTAAGGTCTACAAAAATAATATGCACCTAAAATGCACTAAAAAAATAGTATGAAAAGTCAGAACTTCCAAAACTTTAGAGTACAAATCCTAGATTTAAATATAAAGTTTTTGAATTAAAAAAAGTAAGAAAAAAAATTCAAGAAAAGAATGGGGGTGTTTAAATAAAGTTTCTTTAATTTTCGCTGGATTTTCCTTTTATTTTGTCTTCCTCCTCTCACTCATAAATGTGGAAGGATAAGAAAGAAACAAAAAATCTGACATCTCGCACAATTCACGCCTGTTTTTTAACTGTCTTCTCCCTTCTTCGCCGTTCATCTTCTGCAAAAGAATTCATCTTCTGCAAAAAGAAGATCGAAACCCCCCTGAAATTTCTTCTTCTTTCTTCTTCTTCATTTGCTTGCTAAATCTGGGTCTTTGATTTCTTGAACCCATGTGGCTATCTCGAACCAATTCAAAGACCCGGATTCCCAGAAACCCCTCCTCCTCCTCCGATTTCTCCTGCTCCTCCTTCAAAGACATTCTCAGCCTCTGCGCCGACGAGCCCACTTCCGGCAACCAGACCCGATTCAAGAAGTCCAACATCTTCCACCGCGTTCTCCGGGCCAACGCCGTCCTCCGTGCTCTCTCGGGTCACCTTCCGCCCAAACCCGGACCCGACCCGTATGTCCCCCTCGACCCGCCGGAGAAGGCGAGTCCGATCTGTCTCCCCGGATCCGAGAAGAGAATCGTCGTCTACATCACCAGCCTCCGCGTGGTCCGCCGGACGTTCGAGGACTGCAAGGATGTCCTAGCCATTCTCCGGAGTTTCCGGGTCTCGATCGACGAGAGGGATCTCTCGATGGACCCCAGATTCATGGACGAGCTGAAGGCGATCCTCGGAGTCCGGGACAAGAGGAAACTGACACTGCCGCGGGTTTTCATCGGCGGGAGGTACATCGGCGGCGCGGACGAGATCCGGCAGCTCCACGAGGCCGGCGAACTAAAAAAGTACGCCGAAGGGCTCCCTCCGGCGAACCCAGCCACCTGCGAGGTCTGCTACGGCCACAGATTCACCCTCTGCGCGGATTGTAACGGGAGCCGGAAGTATTACAGCGAAAAAAGTGGGTTTCGGATCTGCACGGCCTGCAACGAAAACGGCCTGATCAGGTGCTCTTCTTGTTCCGGCTGAGCAAAAACATCTTTAGATTATGATAATAACTAGCAGATGAAAGAAAAGAAAAGAAAATTTACACAATTTTTCTGGGTTTTTGCAACTTCAAAGATTGAATCTTTAGCCAATCTTGCTGGTTCACTGAGGGATTCTCATCACTGTTATCATCTGTATGGGAGAAAGGAAATGGCGTTTTGAGTTAGATGAAAAAAAATTCATTTTTCAGTTCTCTCTTAACAATTACTAACACATTTCTGTAAGCTAGTGAGTGAAAACCTGAGATATGATGACCATGGCACTCACCATTTTTTGTTTCTGGATGTTCTAAGAGGGTGTTTGGCACATCAGCTTTTGCTTTTCTCCACTACTATTTTGTACATAGAACACTGTTTCGGACAAGTTGTTATGAAGTGCTTATGCTTTCAGCTTTTGTAGAAATTACTTTATTCACAAGTTAATCATTCTCAAATCCCCTCTCAAACCATAATATTAGTTTGACAAGTGGAAGGGCTCCATGTTAACCATCTTTCATCTCCATTTGTACATTTTCTTTCTCATTTATAAAGGATGAATCCCAATCTCTGAGCGTTCAGAATCGCTGAGACAATCACCAATAATTGTTTTCATTTATCTAAGCTAGATGTTCTCATTTATCAATTGAAAAATGGTGGGGTTGTGATGATGTTGAAGTTGAATAAAAAAGAGTGTAATTTGAACAAAAGAAGTTATTTGTCATCACATTCATTGTTTTTTATATGATGAACAAGTATCACAGACAAGTTTGGCTGTGTTTGAAACTTAGAATTAGATGAACCAATTATTGAATTCAAAATGTTGGATATACTCCAACAGGGCAGCTTCATGAATGGAGGAGGAATTGAAGACCTCTTACATATACGGAGTTGTCATTTATATTAGGGATGAGCAATTTAACCAACCGTTATTAGATACTTCCTCCGTCCCGAAATGATGTTCCCATTTTGACTTTTCTTCATTTTTAAGATGGCTTGACTAATGGGTTAAAGAGACTAAAATACCCTTGGCCTCACCCCAGCCCACCTCCGACAAGAAACCCCCACAGGAAGGAAGATGAGGGTAATTTTGGAAGAATAGAAAGAAAAGTGTAGAGTGGGAACATCATTTCCGGATGAAAAAAAGAGTAGAACGGGAACATCATTTCCGGACGGAGGGAGTATCATTTATTTCGGTTTCAGTGTTCGTGTTTCAAAACTTTTCAATTTCGTCGGTTTTTCGGTTTCAAGTTTGTTCTTTGTGTTCGCGACTGAAACCGACCAAATAACTGAACCCTAAATAGTTACTCCCTCCGTCCCAATTTAAATCACTTATTTTGGCTTTTGGGTATATTTAAGAAAAATAAAAAAAATAGAGTTTATTTTTCAAAATTTTATTATTTTTTAGGAGGAGTAACGATGAATGAGAAGATAAAGCGGAGAAGAGAGACTTGTTTTAGGAACAATTTAGGTATTTTAATCATAAAAATTTACAATAACAACTAACAGGCAACTTATTTTGGAACGGAGAAAAAAGACAAACAAACAATTTAAAATGGAACAGAGAGAATATATTAATTAAATTATAACTCTATTACTCCGTATGTGCAAGTTATCCAAGTATTCAACATAGAGTCCCCAAAATGTCCAAATATGTTGCAGTGGCAGTGGCCACAGAAGTTTGGACAAATTATTTTTTAATTCAAGTTAAATACTAAAGTGGCAGTAACTTGGAGAATTTTTCAATTCATGTGAAATACCGAGTACTAAAATTAGTAGGGAGTAATTACGGAGTAATTTGTTTGGAAAAATTTTGGGTTTTGAAAACCGGCCGTAACCTTTTCAATTACATCAATTTTCGTTTTTTCAACTTTCTCCAAACTCAGGTTGATTTTGGTCGGTTTTCAAGACCCGAAATAAAGTCCAGATATTTTGGTTTTCAACCAAAACCAACCGAACCGCTCCAATGCTCACCCCTATCATTTATACATTTCCATTAAAAAGCTCTTCTTCTTTTTTCAATAAAGAAAAGCACCAAAGAAGGTTGTTGCAATGTAAGCATTCCCTAGGTCTAGAACTTCAAGAGAACTCATTTAGCTATAGACATTTCATCCCAACTTTACATTTGGTGACCAAGGATGACAATGCATTACTACTAGTACTATATGGATAATGCATCAACATCCCTCCCTCGAAACGGAGGGGCAGCCCCAGCAGCAAAAGGACTATGACCCAAGTTTTGATCATATCCACTCTCATGCAATGTTCCATTGTCTTGAGCAAAGCCTGCCACAAGAAAAAAGATCAACGATTTACTCTTAGCATACAATAGTTGAACTGTGTAGAAGAGAGTGTCTGAAACAGTCAATGGTGTATATATCTGATGGGGGAAATAAAGCTGCTTCGATCTATACATATACAATTGTGTATATGTACGTATACAACAACAACAACAACAAACCCAGTAAAATGACCTAAAACCCCACAAAAAGTATGGACTAAGAACGGTGTGTATACGCATAGTGTATATGCATACCTCACCCCTACTCCAAAAGTAGAGGTTCTTTCCGAGAGATCTCGGTCTCAAACACAGGCACAACGACAAAATAACTAGACAAAGTAAACACAGTAGCACGGACAAAACAAAGAGCATAGATACATGAAGCCCACAAACCAACAATAGCAATTAGACCCAATATATGTGTGTATATTGTGCGAAGAAAATAATATGGGTGGGGCAAGAGGGGGGATAGCATAGCATTCCTCGTATATATGGAGTATTAGATAGTACTTGGTATAAGTGCAGCAGCAGCTGCTGCCATTGCTCTCTTCTCGGCGTCTACAAGTTCAACCCTTAGCCTCTCAATTTCAGCACTCAAGGAACTCATATGCATCTCCATTGTCAGTCTTTGTTCAAGGTTTGCAGCTTTCGTTTTCCTTTCTTGCTCAATAGCATCCCTGTCCATTTCCACATAAGCCCAAGAATGCAGTTAATTGACTAAAGACAACAACA